CTTGCACCGTACACGGTTTTGGCAAAGAACTGCTTCCCCCTCCTGAGAAGCTGGACTGTTGGCCAGAATCTCTTTGAGGTCAACCGATAGTCATGCTCCATGGACTCTCCAAACTCCTCCCAGTCCCGGGTTTTACCCCAGCTACAAGCTGGCGCATCAGCGATAGAGGAAGAGAACATGGTCCACTCAGACTCAACGTCCCCCTCCTCCACCGGGACCTGGGAGAAGCTCTCTCAGAGGTGTGAGTTGAAAGTCCGTCTGACAGGGGGCTCAGCGAGACGTTCCCAGCAGACCCTCACTACACGCTTGGGTCTGCCAGGTCTGACCGGCTTCCTCCCCTGCCAGCGGATCCAACTCACGATCAGGTGATGATCGGTTGACAGCTCCGCCCCTCTCTTCACCTTAGAGTCTGAGACAAGCGACCGACTTCTATGTTGTTGTGTCAGGTGAGAGTCAACCAGCTGATGCAAAAATTAAACAATAAAATACATTCTATTCAATGTGTGGTATATAGAAAATTAAAGAAGCTCATTGGTCAAAAATTAATCTTCCGACATAATTTTTGACCAATGAGGTAATATTGGATCATTTCCAAACACAGCAAATTACATCTAAAGGCACACTAACGTCCCAAGACCCACAAGCCTATTTTAACAAAGCGGCACTTTGAGACAGTTGTGCATGCTTTTGTGACAACCCGCTTAGACTCCTGCAATGCACTTTACTGTGGGCTGAGCCAACACTACTTTCTCGGCTGCAGCTCGTCCAAAATTCTGCAGCTCGACTTTTAACTGGAACTCGCAGATGTGAGCATGTTACACCGGTTTTAAAATCTTTACACTGGCATTTTAAAATTATTTTATTTACTTTTAAATGTTTAAATGGCCTGGCCCCCTCCTACCTCTGTGATCTTATTCTGCCCCATGTTCCCTCTCGTGCCCTCAGGTCAGCAGATCAGCTGATGCTGGTGGTCCCTAAGACACAGCGTAAGCTTCGTGGTGACCGCGCCTTTTCTGTTGCAGGTCCACGTCTTTGGAATCAGTTACTCATTGAGATCAGACAGGCTCAGTCTCTGCCTGTTTTTAAGTCACTTCTTAAAACTCATCTTTTTTCACTTGCTTTTGATAATGTTTGATCTTAGGTAATATTGTTTTATATATGTCTTTTTAGTCTATGTGTTTGTTTTTTGTGTACAGCACTTTGGCTGAACTGTAAAGTTTTTTTAAAAGTGCTTAATAAATAAAGCTGGTTTGGTATGGTATGGTACTGGTTGAAAAGCACTGTTTTAAAGTGTTACCATGACTCTTTGGTGAAATCACCAAAGGTTTCTTTCTCAGACTTCTCATGGGCCTCCCACAGTTCTGCAACTACCACTACAGACTTATCACAGCCTGTCAACTTTACTGCATACAGCTTCCCTCCCAAGCCCTGCGACCAAGAAGTCTGCCCATTCAAATCAATGACCTGTGCCCATTGCTGTAATCTCGCTCCATGGAGGCCAATAGAGGAAGAGTACTGTAAGGAACGTCTTTAAAAATTTGAAGTTTGTCGGGCAACTTCCGGTTGCTTCTGGATTGTTCTTAATGTGATACAGTGTGTGGGACGGCCAGAGGGACCTGTCTAATCCATTATTATAGATCCATGGTCTAATCTGTTGGAATGGTTAACGCTCAGCTGAAAGGGGATAGGGGAAGGTGTGTATTTTAATATGGTCTTTGTGAAATTGTTTGTGCTTAACTGAATATATATTTTTTAGTTCTTATGGTGAAAATGTGCAATAAAGTTACAATGGAAAATGGGCACATGCATCAGTGCGAGCATTCATTCATTCGGCTAAAACCTAACCACTAACCACTGGTCACGTGGTTTGTAATAATGGGCTGATCAAGAACAGAGGGGCGTCACCTAAAGGTCGGCCCAGAGTGGACAGAGCATCTACTTTCATGTACAGTATACTGTCCAGTATTCCAGTATTCCAGTGCTCTCCATTGTGAATGCGTTGGAAACATAATATTTCCAATGTGTTTCTTGGGCGAAAGTTGAGCTGTTATTTTTAAACATTTGGAGGCTCCAAGTAAAAAATTTAAATAGACACAGCCCCCACAAGCATTTGCTCAGGCTGAACCTTTTTCCTTCCATGCACAATATAATGAATTATATAAAACCAATTCTGAGGGGCGTGTATTGAGAGTAGGCCAATCTAATCTTTTATAATGAAGTCAAACATAATGATCGGGAAATTGTGTTTTTGAAATGCAACAATGTAAATGAACTGCAATTTACAAAATTGTCATGAGAACGCAATAGAACTCTAATATAAAAGTATGATTGAGCTTTATTAGTAAATTATGTAAGTTGGAACTGACCTGCCCCTCATTCTTTTAAAATAAATGAATTAATACATTATTTTCTGAAAAGATCGCACAGACAGAAACACACAGGTCAAGGACTGAAACGACCAAAGAAAAATATGAAAATCTGAACCCAAACAAAGCAAAGCTAAAAGTAATGTAGACTTGAGTGCGCTTGAGTGGCTTATATAGCACTCTTCCACACGCCAAAGGAACTCGCACTGTGCACTCCTGCTGTGGGCAGTTCCACTTCCAAGCAATGTTCACAAATGGCATGATCCACAGTGGGTGAGGTCGTGATTGAGGGAGCTTCCACCTTGTAGCAACCATATTTTTGCTGGATGTAAGCCCCGCAAAGAGAACCCTTTGGCCCCCAAGTCTGACCAGGGAAGAGCAGGGAACCAGGCACAACATGAGGATGGACAGACCGCCGCCACCATCATCCAAAACCGAGACCACTCCAAGACCATGTGGAAACAGGTCCCAGTGACTGACACTATGGCACAAATCACAGGGAATATCCTGCTTGCACTTCATAGAGAAAAGTCTACAAGGTTTTAGGCAAATCCTATGTCCTGTGTCAGAATCTGCTTTTTTCAGTGTCCCAGACACTCCATTGTAGATTTGGAATGTCTGATATAATCTATAAAATATGGGAATTCAATTTATGACATCTCCTTTAACAAGAAATGGGGCCAGGCACTCCATACGTTTCCGTAGTAGTTCTTAACTGTAAATAAAAGAAAAAAAGTTGAATGCTGTAAATTAAACTGAATGCAGAGGTAAGTAAGTAAGTAAGTAAGCTTTATTTATATACCGCCTTTCACAGACCAGAGTCACAAAGCGGTTTACAATTGTTATTTTTGGGCACTTGTCCTCTCACTCCACACAGAGATGGGAGCGCAGTCGCCAAACAGGAGGCGCATGCCAGACCTATTGTACATATTTTTAGTGGTAGGGGAAACCGGAGTACCCGGAGGAAACCTACGCAGACACGGGGAGAACATGCAAACTCCACTCAGAAAGGCCCTGGTCCGGCCGGGATTCGAACCCAGGACCTTCTTGCTGAGAGGCGAGAGTGCTATCCACTCAGCCACCGTGCCGCCCGTAGAGGTATTGAATGAAGGCCTGAGTCTCCCATGTATGCCTTTGTCATATCATTTTGAGAATTCCAAAATGTAATACTGCCAGAATGGCAGTATACTGTAACACAGAATACAACAAAAATTGGATTTTACAAAAAATACCAAAATCAGACAAAACAGACACACGTCCACTGTACAACCTAATGCATTGCATAAATAAATAAATAAAGATTACTACTACTGTACAACCTAATGCATTGACACTCAAGACTGAACCGCCATCCTCATTGCCACCAGAAAGCTCAACTCAGATTCTTATTCTAAGTGTACGTTTTTTAAGGATCTATTGAAAATCAGAAGGGTCCACATGAACAGCCTACCTGCTGCTGCCCCCTGCTGGTCACTTGTGTGTTCTGTGTTGACACATAAATCCTGTTGATGTGATTGTTCAAGTTCAGGCTCCTGTTGTTTTCTAGTATCATCCAAAAATGGACTAAATAATTATTTAATTATTTCATTGATTGTTACCATTTATAAAAATAACGAATAGACAAATATAATATGTAGAATAACTTATACCAAATGTTTTGTGCATCACCAAATTGACTCCTGCATTTGACCCGCCTTTCCAATGCCACGAGTGCAAACAGTGGTCTCTGCGGTGGAGCACCATGTTGCTGCTGAGTTTGGTCAGGAGTCAGGAGCATGGATCTGTTATAATATCTATAACTATAATATCTATAGGAGTAAGGATTACCTTCACTAAAGGAGTTTTGATGGCTCAGGTTTTCGGTGGTGAGGGGACCCAGATGCCTGAGGAAACCCACCCAGACACGAGGACAATCATGCAAACTCCTCACAGAAAGGCAGACACAAGAATCGAACCTGCAACCTTCTTGCCGTGAGGCTTGAGCGCTACCCACTCAGACTCACTCACCTATATTCATAATAGAATAATAATACATTTCAGATGTTATCCCAGTCAACATGTAAAGAGAGGGATGCTCAGGTGGAGATTCGTGACTGGGAGCTTGTCTCAGCAGCACTATTTTATTAAAACATGGCGGTCGAACCCTGCCACCTGCTGGTGACATTCTGAAATAACAGCTCACAAAACATTCGCTAATAAAGAACCTTTTTTCTCACTTTTTAAAACCTAAAAAATCTTTCGTGGTCACAACTCAACGAACACGTGTGTTTGTTTATCTCCATCAAACATGTAATGGTTTACAAAAGCTTCTACATGTTCATTTCCAAAAAACTAAAATAACTTTAGGTGTGGAATAAAACCCAAAGTATGATGCATGTGGTGTTGCTGTGTACCTTAATATAATACATCCATGCTGTGTACTCACGGGTCTCGCCATCCTTACGTCCTGCACGAGATCTCGCCCGTTCTAGAGGCTTGTCACCAAAGATGGCGAATTGCTGAGTGCTCATGGATGTACACATTTGTAGGCTATTGGTTATTTTACCTGAACTGCCAACTTTGACAAGAAAATAGCTGCACAGCGGGCGTTTTCCCTTGGTTTCACTCTAAGAAGAAAGGCCTGTTGCCGCCGCCATGCAGATCACACTGAAAACACTGCAACAACAGACTATTCAGATTGAGATAGACCCCGAGCAGACGGTGAGTTGCTAACAGCTAACAGCTAACTTTAGCCTGACCCACTCTGCGGATCCATGGGCTTTGGCTTCATGTACATACACAATATTTATCATGCACGGTGACTCTTATATCCAGTATGACCATATATATGTTTGTCGACACACTGAGAGTGCTTTAAAACGTCATGCTTTTATTCACGCCAAAGATCTCGTGTACTGGCTAGCATGACTGAACTTCCGAGCCGCAGCTAGCGCCGTGCACAAAGTGCCATGCGCTTTGATAAACATGTAAGAGATACAGTAGAAAACACTGACACGACTCGACATCATTTTCTGGATGTCGAAGTTACTACACTGTCCATTGTCCAACCGTATCTGATGCAGTAAAGTGGGCGGGTTTGCTAACTGCTAATGCTTGTAGCATGACTGTGCTAATTATGATTAGCCTCATTTGTTGCGGAGCTGTGAGACTGCAAGAGCTGGCATGTAAACAATGTGGTTTGCCAGTGAACACTTTCAGGATACCAGACTCCTACAATAGATATTATTCAAAACCGCTTCTTTCATGTGTTCTAAAGGTATTTTGTCAAACAAGGGCATTGCAAGAAGCAATATCCGATGTTACCTTCTGCCAGTGGTAGAACATCTGTAAGAGAAGATCACGGGATTAAAGTCATTGATCTATTCACTTTGTTTGTGATGACCATATCTAATAGTTAACATCAACCTTCTTTGACAACAATTCTAATTTTAGTGATGTGAGATTCTTGGAATGGTGACACTCTTAAATGCTCTATCCTTAATCGGATCATGTACTCTGTATATTTTCTTTAGGTGAAGGCGTTGAAAGAGAAGATTGAAACAGAACGTGGAAAAGACAACTTTCCTGTCTCTGGACAGAAATTAATTTATGCTGGTAAAATTCTTCAAGATGACACGCCCATCAAGGAATACAAAATAGAAGAAAAGAACTTTGTTGTTGTTATGGTTTCAAAGGTAAGGAGCTTGGTGTGACAGTTTTACAGTGTGACTTTGATCTTACTTCTTGCACACTGTGAACAGGCTAAGTCCACCGCTGCTGCCTCTCCTTCCGTCTCAGAAGCGCCCAAACCTCCTTCACAAGAATCCTCGTCCACTGCCCCTGCCCCTACCCCTGCTCCCGCCTCTGCTCCAGCCCCCACTCCCTCTGCAGTGTCCACTCCCCCTGATGAGCCCAGGGAAGAGGCTACAGAGGAGGTCAAAGAAGAGCCTAGCGCTGCTGCTGGAGAACCACAACAACCTGCCAGGTACTGGTTACTCTCTGGATCTTTGTTGGTTAGTTTAGTTTGGACATGACTGGCACAATACTGAACTATCTTGATGCTTTTAATTCAACTGTTCCTTTATTGTCTTCCCCTTGCAGCTCCAGTGGCAGTAGTCAGAGCGTCGACCCCTCATCGGCCCTTGGTATGTACAGATGACTGTGCAAAGATGACACCTGTTCTAAATGTCCCTTGATTTGGTTTGAAAAAAAGTTTGGATTAAACCAACTGTTAAATCCATTCCCTGGATTGTCTAATATTGGCTACTTAATAACTGCATATGTTTTACAATCTATAGAACTATTTAACATGTCTACTCTTTTTTTAGGTTTTCATTCGATTCTGTTAGATGCTTTTCTTCAGTGTATGTGACGATCAGGCACAGTGGAACTACTTTCAGGATTTCAGAGCCCATTACTTTAACGCAACCTATAGACATGTTTTTCTTATTTTTAAAGTTGTGAATCTACAGAATTCAGCTGTTCAGTTACAATCCACATCTTGAATTTTGAATGCGTCCACACACATGCTGCTAGTTTAAAGCAGCAGATCATAAACCCAACGTCATCCAGCCCACTTCAGCTCTGCTAACATACTCTTACATCATCTTTAAGTTAAGGACGAGCTCGAATGTGGTGCAGATTCTAAAGGTCTGAGAGGTTCTGAGAATCTGTTTTTGGGTTCCATTTATAAACTCCCCGCTCCTGTTTTTACTTTACACCATTTTTCATGTTGTTAGTCTCTTTGTCTCTTTGTAGCTATCAGAATGAGATGAAGTACATTTGAGCAGAAACTTATTTTATAATGACATTGATTCTGTACGCATGTGTGTTAAATAAAGATCTGTCTTTAGAACTTCTCAGAAACTTCTGGAAGCAAACGGCAGCCAGTGCTGGGCTTTTATTGCAAACATTTTGTCCCTGGATGTTGCCGTTTCCTCAGCCTGAGCTCCACTGACCGCCGTTTGCCTGTTTGTGTGCAGTGACGGGGGCCGAGTATGAGAACATGCTCACGGCGATCATGGCGATGGGATACGAGCGAGAGCGAGTGGTGGCGGCGCTGAGGGCCAGCTTCAACAACCCGCACAGAGCCGTGGAGTACCTGCTCACTGTACGCACGCATCATTCTCACAACCACACCTTTACTTCACTTTTCACTTTCTGATTCCTCATTACTGAACCTTCATGTGTACAAACTAAGTACGCAGTGCAGTCCACTCACTGTCCATTTTGTGGCGTAGGGCATCCCCAACAGTCCGGTCCAGGAGAGCAACCCTCCCCCCGCTGGACCCACGGAAGCCCCATCGGAAGGTAGGCCTCTTCTCTAATTTTAAATGTTTTATTATCGTATTGACATGAGCAAAGTATCATCTAAAATAAGCCCATCCATCCATCCATCCATTTTCTTCCCCTTAATCCATTTCTGGGTCGGGGGGGTGGCAGTCAGAGCTGCACCCAGTCACAAGTCTAAAATAAGCGGCATTTGTAATTGCAATGTGTTGTAAAAGTAAATATTTTTGCACGTAGGGATGGGACAATATATTTTATTGTAATTCAAGGGTAGTACAATAGTGTTTGGTCTATAGCTGGCCAGAGAACTTTTTTTGTTAATCGAGCACGTTTAGAGTTTTAACAAGATTTCCTCTCGGTATGTAATCCTTACACATTATTGTGATGTAACTTTCACATGATTCCGGACTGGGCTCTGTCCGTATCGACTCGAGGGACAGTCTCAAGCGTAAATGTTAAGGTAAATGTATTTGATTGACGGCAAACATGACAAAATTGAATCCTACTTCTCAGTTTTAAAATACTTAGTGACTCCACTCTCTATGATGGTCATTGACTTTTATAAATGCATTTTCTTGTTACTATAAAATGGCACAATTGTTTTTGCCTTGATAATCCAGATTTGTGAATATTGTCCTATTTCTTAAGCGAGAAGACCCTTGTCCAGCCTGCAGCTTGTAACTTGAATGTGATCGTGTCCCATGTCCAGGAGAAAACCCTCTGGCGTTCCTGCGGGTCCAGCCACAGTTCCTCAACATGAGACGGGCCATCCAGCAGGACCGCTCCATGCTGCCCTCTCTGCTGCAGCAGCTGGGCCGGGAGAACCCCCAACTCCTGCAGGTACCAGCAAATCTATATCGACTTGTAAACTGATGGTTTGAACTGAGACCAGAACTCTCCAAAGCAGATGATTCTGTTAACCTCACACGGTTTCGTGTCTGCTGTTTAAATGGATTTGTGTCAATGAATGCAACGTAGTGGAGCCTGTTATACTTCAATTTAAAGCAGTTTTGCCCAAAAGATGAAACCAAAATTAGAATCTGCATTTTATTCATCAAAAACATGAATCTGTCTACATTTCCAGCCGTCTTCACATTTTGGTCCTGTTTTGGTTCAGTCCAAGCAGAACTACTACTGTAGAGAATAACCAACCACAAAACGAGATCCAAAGTCTTATCCAATAAACTGAGGACCACAAAATAAAGTCCGTATAGTGAAAACAAATCTACAGATGCAAAAGATGAGCTCTAATCATACTTTTCACAAACACAAAGAAAACACTGGATATCTGTGCTCCATGTCCCTCTCTTTCTCTTTAGCCCTTAGCTTTCTTTGTGCACATTTCAAACCTTTCATAGACAACCTTGACTGTCCTCAAAGAGCTTTTCTCAATCTTATCTGTTGTTTGTTCAGCAAATCAGCCAGCACCAGGAGCGCTTCATCCAGATGCTGAACGAGCCAATGGGGGAAGGGGGCGACGCTCCGGAGCTGGGGGACATCGGAGCTGCAGGAGACGAGGGGGCTCCTGTGAGCTACATCCCAGTCACCGCTCAGGAGAAGGAGGCCATCGAGAGGGTGAGGGCAGTGTGTGTGTGTGAGCCTGATGCAAGGTTAAAGAAGCTATACCCGATTTTCTTTCTAATGAGTTTATAAAAATGCTTATCACTACATACAAGTTCATTGATTCTGCTGTGTATGAATTCAGGCCGTATAAAAGTGCTGAGTAGAGACTTAGTGGGCCGCTCATCCTGCTCCACTCACAGAACGAGCCTGCGTCCTCTACAGCGCTGCTAAACACAGTAGCATGTTAGCAGAATTGGCTATAACTCCTCTTGCTATAACTGCATACACAGCAAAACAGCCCGAACGACACACCAGTGAGGAAGAGAAGAGGGAACTAAAGCGAAAAAATGATCAAAGAAGAAACCAAGCCCAGGTAAACATGGCTAGCTTACATCGTATCCTCTGGAGAGACTTATCTATCGGAGAGCCCTGTGGGACCGCCTCGGACTATCTATGCTCGGACCACATTTGGACGCGAAACTAGCGGTAATCTTTCTGTAATATATTTTGTTAGCAGTGCGTTGCTTTTGTACAATTTCATCAGTGATTGTTGTACAGCTTAAGTTGTGCTAATGCTAATGTTAGCATCAGATCGCAAATACAACTAGAAGGCTCCCCTTGGTGGAAATGAGAAGCCTCTGAGCGAGTTGGGAGGCGGTGCTAAACATTAAACCTTGCAGAAACGGGTATAGCTCCTTTAATGTAGCCACAGCCTGTGCATGTAGACTCTGGTCAGTCTGAGCCCGGGTCACATGGTGAGTAAACCAGGCTTGTGTTTTAGTCTAAAATGTTGTGGATCCAGGAGGTGGTCCTGTGCCTGCTGCTGATTGGCTGCTGTCTGTTCTGTCACAGTTAAAAGCGCTGGGCTTCCCTGAGCCCATGGTGATCCAGGCTTACTTCGCCTGTGAGAAGAACGAGAACCTGGCGGCCAACTTCCTCCTGAACCAGGAGCTGGATGAAGACTGAGCCCTGGGCCCTCCCTCCTCCACTCAGAGACTGCAGCCCCCGCACACGCCTGCCGGTGGGGGGAGGGGGAGAGGGGCACTTGAGAAGGCAAGATAATGAGGGAACGTCAAAACCCACGTGAATTCCAATGGAATGTGTGGGCTTTGTTGTGGGAGATCTCTACTTTGATTTTAGATGCGCTTTGTGATTGTTAGGGAAAGGGTGCGACGAGCGAGTGCCTGTGCTGATGGATGCAACGCAATTAAAGCTGAGAGCAAATAATCTAAGACTGTTCATGCTGTAGCCACGAGACACAAGCTCCATCACCACGACTCATGAAGGACCGTGCCCCCGCCGCCGCTGTCCAACCACGGACTCACTACTACGCTGATGGAAGTACTCCTGCCCCACTGTTCCCACCTCCACCCCCCGTCATTTTCTCAGACCTTTGCACTTGTGGACTCGTACTGTATGTGCTTCTTCTTTTCATGTATTCTCTCAATCTTCTCTATCTTTTTTTTCTGGCCATTTCACAAGACTGAGCATTGGTCTTTAAACTAAACTTTCATTCTAATTAACATGAGCATCTATTATAATCAGGTCTTTCATACTCACAATTTCTATTTTGTGTGTGGTTCAAAACTATGGATTTCACTCGATTACACAACTATGAATAAAGTATAATGTACTGATGAGTATGAGCTAAAGACTGACTGACAACTCATTCATCCTGGAGCTTTGATTTGAAATACGCACAAACGTGTGTTTCTTCAACTCATGGTTCATTTCCTCACACTGGTCGTAGGGTTACGTTCACTTCATGTTTTTGTCCCAGGAACTAAACCGCTTCACATTTGTTACTCTAAATCTAAAATAATGCATTTTCCAGTTTCTGTTGACTGAGCTTGAACCCAGACGCTGCATGTGGGAGAGGCACCAAGAGCACGCTGAGACCCTGATATTTGACTGTAACTGTTTGAAATAACGTGTGGCATGACATCTGTTTTATTTTCAGCTTTTGTGTGTTCACAAAAGGACTATGTAAACAATCCGTGTGTGAGCTGGCAGTGTTCTACAGCATCAACATGAGCTTAGATGAACTGTGCTACATTAAATATCAGTCTTTCAGGCTCCTGACTCTGGCGTCTCATTATTCACAGATCATGTTGAGTGTCTTTTTCATGTCAACTACATTATATTATGTTTAATGTACGACACCTTTGTTTTATTTGATCTATTGAGTATGCAGCCGGAAAGACTTATGACATAATTTTATTCTATATCGAGGTATTACAATTTGTTTTTATATTTTCAGTATATATTTTTCCCTCAGTGTTATCCTATAATGATCCTGAAGGGAAAGTCGGCTACCAATAATTTCTATCGGGGCCCCTCAAAAGTGATCTCAACTTGTGACTGCTGAATAACATTTAAAGAAGTAATTATTCGAATCAAATGAGTGGATCGAGCACAATTTGGGTTTGACAGATTTTTGCGTCAATCAGTGAAAAGTTTATGATTTTAAGATAATCTTGCATCCCCCTCTTTGAGAACCACCGTCACATGTTCAATTTCCTGATATTTACTTTTTATAATACACATATATGCTGTTATATATTTAACCAGCATCAACTTTCAGAAGATAAACCTTTATGTGAGATACAACTGTTACACATCTGTAATGTTCGCCGCTTTAGTTTTCCTTTAAAATGGAAAGCATTTAAAAGGCTCCTTTATCAGACTTTTTTTCTGTGTCAAGGCAATGGCTGCATCCAAATTAATTAAAAAAAAGCCTCCTTCCTTGCGGTTCCTTCTCATTTTTATTAATATTTTGTGACATGACACTTGACCTCTGGTATTAAAACACTTTTAAAATGTCCTTTGATCAAAGCTGGAGCTGCTCCATCTCTAAAAAGGAGATTTTTAAAGAATAATGACCTTAACCCATTTTTGCTGAATTCGGATGCAGCTTATTCAGGGTTAAAGTTCCTCAATCCACCATGACGACGACTCAAACTGTCTTCATTAAATTGACAGCGTCGATGTATGCTCCTGATGATATGATTTGTGTCGGTGAACAAAGAGTCAAACTCCAGAGTACAGTCAAGAACATCCTTTTATTCAATCAGGTAAAGGTCTAGCTCTTTTTTAACTGCTTTTTATTATTATTATGGAAAAGAAACTGTATTAACACATGCATTTCACCAGGGGCTCTGGGGGCGGTCTGAGGATGTGAGGGGGCTGGACCAGACTGGCCCCAGCAGAGGAAAGCCTGTCCGGATCCAAAAGTGTTGTCCAATTGTATGTAAAAAGTTAATTATTAAAATTAGACTGTTTTCTCCTGCTGCACGAGGCGGGCTCATTATCCGTGCAACAGTATTTTATGGTTCAACTTGAAGTATTAAAACAGCAGTGTCCACTCCCCACTGTGCAACCTTCTGCATATGGCTTTTTGTGGCGTGGCGCTGCATGGCTCCTAATACTGCTGCTGGCTTCACACACACCAGGATTAGTGTAATCATTGAGATAAATTGATTGTAAGTGGTGGCGTTAAGACATGTTTGAGCGTCGCATTACTTAGGTAACGTGACGAGCAGGTAAGTTCCCAGTGGGGGTTGTTTGTACAGGCCAGCTCAGTACAAGATGAGTTAGTATTATACAACAAAATACTATGGTTACTTCAAAATCAATAATAATCCAAATTCACAAATTATAAAATGGAACAAAACCCTTGCGGTCCTTGTGACTGATCATCTCATTTCCTCCACAAAGAGTGAAGTGAGGGTGTGTTGGGGGTGGTGTGGCCCGGCAGGCTGCCCTTGAGCCCCTTTGCGGCCCAGAGCCCACTGGTGTAACTTGTTCACTTACATTAGCTGTTCAAATGGAGAAGCTGAAGAAAATGGGTATGGTATACAATGTGAAGCGTACAGACAAGAATAACATGTGAGCTAACTGCATTCTGCTCAGACAAAAAATCTTTGCGTATTAATTTTTTTCCATTTTTTTTTTTGCTTTTAAACCCCGCCGTTCAGAGAAAAGAGAAATAAGAAGAAGGAGCTTATGCGGCTACAGACTACTCCAGTGTCCAAGAGAGACAGAAGACCAGATACAGAGGAAGAGAAGCAAGACACATTTTTTTCAACATTTTTTCAGCTTTTTGTTATTTTTCAACAATAAAAAGAGGAACTAAATCACACCAATTCCTTTTAATACTATGTATACTGCTTTAAAAAGCTTCAAGAAGAAGAGAAAGATATAGGAGTATGAAGGAGGGGATATTTTCTTTTGGAGATGGGCACTCAGGATTACAAGATGGAACCAGTGAACAAAAGGCACTTTTTAGGGACAACCTTTAAGATGCTCTGAGTCTATTACACTACATCACCAAACAGATATTTATAACCATTTACAGCGGAGGGTGGGGCTACAGACAGGAGGAGGGGCGAGGGCAGAAGGGGAGGGGTTCAGTGGAAAGGCCCGACAGACCAACTGTCCAATGCAAAATGTACATGTTACATTTAGTCGTTGATACAGAGTCAACTGTGGAAGAACTATACATTTCCGCTCTGTTGAAAAGGTTGGATGAGAAAAATGCCTTTTGTTACAAACTTTGCGTACACGAACCCCTCCCCCCTCGATAAATACAAAAAGAGAAATAGTAATAATGCATGTTCCTAAAAAATTTGCCTCTTATGATATTTTGTATTATTTATGTATAATAGATTGAATGTACTTTACACTTTTGAAAGCACCAGTTTTCATATACATTTATGAGTTGCAAAATTGTTCCTTCAGCCTTCTCATATTTTAAAAATTCAAATGAAGGTATTCTTAAAAAAGTGATACAAGAAACAAAACAACAACGCAAAACATGGAAATCAACAACTTTCCCCATAGTACGTACTTACAAAGACTGGGATTTTGAATCTTCCCCGGCTTATTTAGAGTCCTGGGACAAGCGGACTTAAAGAAAGACGAGGGCTTTCCCTCTTTTCTCATGACACCCTCAACAATCACTAACAAACAAATCCCTCTACCAAGGCATTGCACATGGCTCAATCAACATCATTTAGTTCAAGAACAACACTTTCCATTACATCGAGAAAGAAAACAACACTACCTTTTCTGCTCATCAATGTTGACTATAGCCTTGTTTTCATCACTTGGTTTGTACGGTTCAGTCTGAGACGCTCCGTGCTGCAGTTTAAGTTGATATAGAGTTTTGAATGAAGGGCCACGAAGGCACCAGCCAATCTCCAGACAATCATCTTGGTTCCTGTACAATTTTGGGCTAAAGGAGAACTTATTCTGTAGATTTAAACATGGTCTAATCCTAACAAATCCTCCAGTACGATAATGAATCAACACGTGCACATTAAGACCAGACCTATCCGGATCTTCCTCATGTGCTTTCAACATGAACCATACAAGAGCACAAGTTTTGAAAGCTGCTGTTTAATATGTCGCTATGAGGTTCATAGCCTATTTACTAGTATGGGTTTTATTTCAGCACAAAAGTTTGAGATGCATCCTATGACTGTGCGGTTTAAGCCATGCTTCAAAAAATAACTAGACTGCCACAGAGCTTATCATGTAAAATAAAAAAGTATAGATATCTATAAATATATATGTATATAAGATGCGTGCGGTTATCTAGTTAGCTGTCACCGTTGTCTTCTCCTGACATGTTTTTTCACCTTTCACTATAGCTTATATGTGAGAAAAAACAACCTGAATTCATGTTTGACAAATTGCATAATGGGAATACAGAGGCACTTCCATAGAATAGAAAACAAATCCCCTTTCTCCATCGCTCGCATCCTCTCTGCGTGGTTCTAACCGTGGTGCGTTCCCTGCAGGGAGCATGGCCAGGCAGTCCAGTTATTTTGTGAGGTGGGTGAATTTGATTTGGAGAAATAAACAAACAAAATATAGAATTGGCAAAATGCTGATAAATAAATTAAAAGCATAAAGGCCTCCTCAGATTGTCTAAATTTAAATAAATTTAAGACTTCCCTTTGAGTTCGGCACTGTCAGTCTGTGCTTTATGAATCAATGTGTGTCCATCCCAGTATTTTTATTTTTTTGAAATTTATGGCTAAATGTGGTCAGTGTAAAAAAAATGGCAAAAGTAAAAAAATCTTGGCTGCCATGATTGTTTTAGTGCATTTTTGTATCATTAAGGGCTCATCGATTCACATGGATAGCTCAGATAGATTTACCGGGGGAGTGCTGGTGCGTAAAAGGAGGGAGTTACTATAGCAACTGATATTTGGAAACTGGCCATGCAAGTAAAAAATGTCTGCAGACACTGGACTGGGACCCTCCCAGTACTGAGAACTATTATTATTATGATTATGATTCCTTTTTGATAGACAAAGAATCATTGTTAAAGGTAAAAGACTGGGGGAAACAAATGAGATCAGCACCAATCATCTAAAGTAGTGCAAATTAAAACATGTGGCCCAGAATTCACAAGATCCAACAATCTGAAACTGTAAATTTAGATTTTCTTTCTAGAATAGTGCAACTTTCAGTAGAATACTTTTTTCAGTTCAGAGTACCGTGGTACCTTTAAGTGCACATCGCAGTATTGGTCACATGTACAGTGTGGAGAGCCCAGACCAGTCTGCAGTTGTGTGTGTGCCTAAAGAAGAAAACCAGCTCAAAGGGGCATGTTGGGTGGTCCACTGCAGCCTAGAGGCCCTCGTCCTGCTCCTATCCGGATATGTCACATATTGATTTTGCTCCTCAGCGTGGCGCCATGCTCTTGGAGCCTGCGGCCGTCTGGGAGTGTAAACAACAGGGTAAACACAAAGCTTCCTCTAGGTCCCATCTTTAGCAACCTTCCCTCCTCACGTCTTCTGTGATTGTCAAAACCCTGAGCCGCGCCTCCTACGCCCCCTACCGCACGGAGGACGTCAGCGTTTTGTGGATTTGTTTCATTTGCAAACTCTTTTGTGAAATCTATATCCAACCCTGTCTTCGATGCCCACTTCTTTACCACAATCCTCTATAAGGTGCTGTCATTCAAATACAAAAAATTACAAAATAGTACAAATCTAAAAGGAATAAATTCAAAAAAAAGACATCAAGAAAAAAATCATTACATTACAAGAGGGCATATGGGGAACCAATAGCTGCTGCTTTTATTTGTAATACCTGGGATACTAGGTTCAATGTCTAAATACTCGTTGTATGTGTAAGCAAATAGAATTACAATACCGTCACCAAAAACACTACCTCAAATGGCAAAGATGGCTGTGTAAAAAAGCGAATAGGGTTTGAATAAAGGGACGTGACGTTAGCCGATGATTGGGGAGGACGAGAAGGCCAACTTTACCTTCCAATTCAAACAGGCAGGTCTGGTTTCCATGCCTTGCTCTAAAATAGTGCACATTGTTTGTAGATTAGTGTTAACGGACTCGTAGTGCAACCCTTATTGAAGATATGTTTTGGCATGGTCTTGCTAGTTAGTTTGTAGTTATAAGGGTAAACAAAGAAATGAAAAAAAAAAAAAAACATTGGTCAATTTTGGATTCGGGTGCGATCACAGTAGCATGGACTGCAGCTTTGAACATTTATTATAAAACCTGATTCATCGGATAGTCTTTTGCTTTTGGCCGCGTTCTCCATCATGTTCCTCTTGCGTCGCTGCTGTGTTGTGCTGGTTTGCTGGTTTTTCGGGACGAATGCCCACTCCCGCTGCTGCTGCTGCATTGTCCCCACGCCCGTCTTGATCCTGACGTTCCCTAGTCCATCCATTCATCTTTACACTGTGAAAAGGGGTCCCCCTCCCTCGCATTGGGCGGCTGAGTCCAGAGTTCCTCTAAGAATTTCCTGGGTTGACTGGTTGAGAGCTTGGTTTGGGTGAGACGTACTGTAAGGACTCGCTGGAGCTTGGGAAGGTCAGATAGGGGCAGTACATCGTTCTGTGATGACTATGTTTGATTGAAAACGTGAAATTCTAGTTGCTGGTTGGGACACAGGTCTTGTCAGAGGAACCAAGACTGGAAGACAGAAAACAGACGATCAATAAAAAATATGTACAATCATGCAATATTAAAGATCCATTTACGAACAAGGGGACAGAGATTAAAAGCAAGAAATCTAACCAATTTACAATGAAAAAATAAAGAAGGCACTATCTAACCATGTGATGAAGAATTCAAAGCTGGGGAACCTAACTTTATAGTTCATTAAAAAAAAATGCATTAAACAGATGTTTGTAAAATGTTGAAACAACATGCTGAGGTCCTATCCTTTTCACTTTTCTGTCTAAAAAGTGAAAAACTGCTTTGAGAGCGAGGAACTGGTTGATGGATTACATAGTTCCGCAGTTTTGAAGTTTGGGATCCCAGCTTTAGTATTTTGTCCATAATTAGTTGGACACAGTATGACATTGATGTTGTGTTTTGTTGCACACGAAGGGAAGAGCTGTCTGGGCTGTGTACTCAGACGATCCACCACCGCAGACATTTGTGCCTCTTGCTCACTGCTCACTCACAGTTGACTCAGGGCCACTTTGGTCCTTAACTACAGTGAGATTGGCACAGTTCCTGCCCTCGCGCTGTCCTCCTCAGCTCTCCAGGACGTGTGGACTTTGGCCTGGGCTCTGAGTGACTCCTAAAGGCCGAATGGCGGCAGGGGGAATCCGTCTGGTGCTCTCTCTCTGCGCGCCGTGTTTCTGTGGTTCAGCGTGATGCAGGGCACAAGTGGGTCACAGTGGCCGGTGCTGGCTGCCCCTTCTGGCCTGGAGGATCTGTGAGCCCAACGCGCCAACATTCTACAAGTCAAGCCTTGGAAACTCCTGCGAGGCTTGGGGAGGCCAGCCTTTTGTTTTGGTTTGTGACCGGAGTAGGTCGCATGAACGCCCCCTTCTGCCTTTCTCAGTCCCTCAGGCCCTGTCCCAGCGCCAGGGCCATTGTGACGTAGTCTGTCTAACTTTCTCCTTCTACTCTTACAGCTCATCTATCTACAGCACACTCTGACTCCAGCCTTGGCAGAACACTCTGACCACCCTGACCCACGGTGCACCCCCTCGAGCGGGCCTTTCTCAAATTCAACATCAACCGGCAATGACATCATGTCTGGTTGCTATGGGCAACCAGACAGGCTGGACGTGCCTCCTATAGGGTCCAAGCTCTGCCTCTTCTGCTCTACAGCTGCCCCATTACAGTCTGCCCTCCTCTGACTCCAGTGCAGTAGTTTGACCAGCAGAGGGCACCCCAAGCCCACTGTTGTCTGCGATTCTGCTGCGATTGAATTAATCTGTCAGTGTCACTTTGAAGACACAAGAAAACTATTAGCTGAGTGCTTTACAAATAAAGACACATTTGAGACCTAAAAAACCATTTCTGAAAAGGAAGAAAGTATTTACTGAATCACACATGTCTAGAGAGACATTGAATCTATTATCGTATACATCAGTTTTTAAAATATATGCCAACAATGTCTTGTGCTGTTTGTCATAAAAGGCTTATTGCTTTACACTTCTTCTTTATCCTTTTCTTGTTAAAACTGAAATGTAAAGACTCAAAACAGGATAGAAAGTAGAAGGCACATGTGGAAAATCCCTCCAAGAAGAGAGTGTAATGAGCAGTGAGAAGAGAACATAGGGTCACGAAGCAGGGGAGGGAGCCGCTCCTTCAGATGGTTTCCATGTGCGGACGAGCTGAGCTGGCTCCAGGCGGGTGTGGTTAGACACTAATGAGAAAAGTACTGTTGGTAATGGAGGAGGCATATGAACCCACTACACAGAGCCAGCGCACAAGGTGAAAGTGGGAGAAAGTGAAAATGCAGAGAAAGTTAATGAGACGAAGGGAGGAGCGGGCCAAAACCCCAAAGAGAAAAGCACAGTATGTAAAGAAGGGGCATGAGAAGTAGTAGCGAGAATAGGAAAGCAGAAAGGAGCGGGTCTGTAGCCTCGGGCCATGGTCCATATGTGCCAGATAAACAGCCACGCACATATGGTTAAGCGTACAGTAAAATACAGATGTACAAAAGGACAGATTGAGCGGCCGCTGAGAGACGCTGAGAGAGGGGAGAAGCCGACAGCCGGTTTGAGGGGAGTCCTGGCCAGGGGAACAGTTCTGGCCCACATCCACACACTTAATCCATTTGATGAATTTGCGAACAGAAATAACAAACCAGGCAGACATGTTCTCGTCTGCACCGATGCTACGCCTCCTCAGGACATTTACCTGCGTCTGCTGCGGGATGTTCAGAAAGTTGTTGTCCCGTGATCCGATGCCGACAAACCTGTTGGGAGCTGTGGCGCCTGGCGTGGAGTATGCTGCACGATAAAACAAAGAAGAATGCTTCCATCAGAGGTGCTTTTCAAGCTAAGACCACCCTTAGCTTGAAAGGTGGTAGCAATGATTAATGCTACCATTCACTAAGAAAGCAGTTAAAAAGAGACAAGCGAGAGTGACCAATGACATATTTAGGATAAAGCGTTGTATCTGCGACCAATGAGTGTGGTCCACGATACTAAAATTAGAAACTTGATCCTGATGTTGACGCCACAGAGATGAATAACACTTTTTTGTTTTTTTTTTTACATAAATAACAATACAAAATTACAGTACTTTTGTAGGAGCACTTTTGTAGATAGATCAAAATGGTATTTTTTTCAGTACCAATATTTTCTGAGTTTTTATACTAGTTTTGGAATCAATTTTCATGTAATTGGAAAAATACAAATTTGAGTCATTGAGTCATCCACCCAAGCAAACATTAATCCTAGTTAAAGAAGAGTCACTTTTTCTTGAAGGAAAAACGCATTTTTTATTTTCTTTCTTTGAATACTGTGATGTCTCTATATCATAAAGCAGGCTTACTTCTGAGTCTCCAGAAAGTACAACTCCGTGTAATTTGGGTCAATTCCTGAACATGCGGTTGCCAGAATCTTGAGAGCAAACTTAGATGTCCCTGATTGAGGATTAAACCTAGTTAATAAACTCAGCTGGAAGTTATTGAGCGCATCAGACTCCCAACACGAGAGCTCAGCCGGGACCGCTCTAAAACCCAGTGGCGTCAAATGCTTTTGACAAATTTAGGGCAGTTCCAGATCCCCCGAGGACTCCACAAGTTTAGGCTCACTACAGACCCAGCAGGAAGTGTGTTGACTTGTGTACATTTGTTTGTGGGTTTGAAAGAGAGACGGCAAAAAGGGACAGAAAAGATTGGGAACAGAAAAATTAATGACATGGACATAAACAGGATACATCCATGTATTTCTAAGACTGGAGGTCGTAACATACAGAAGACACAGAAGACTTGGAAACGCTGGGGTAAAACAATACTAGATTTAAAAGACAAAAATGCTCCATCCAGTGCCCCTCCTAACAAGTGGATGACCCGCTCCCAAAACAGTTAAACTCCACTGCTCTACCATAAGACTAATCTACGGCTGCTCACCTCATCATAATTCAATGTGTTGTGGGAGTCCATGCTATTCATCTGCCCTAAATTTGTTTCTTATATCCCTCTGGAGAATTTAATCCTTTAGACTACTTTGCTGAAGAGTCCACAAGGGGACCAAAAGAGAATCTCAAAGCAGAAGAAAAAGGGTAGTGATGCAACCTCCACACAAAAAGTAGAAAGAAAAATAAATTGGTCCTAATATGAAACCTTGAGGAACACCACACAAGTCCATCATGAAAAAATAGTTACTGCCAAGCTTATCTGCGGCGTTGGGTAAAGGATGATGGAATACGAACATTTGGAGTCACAACAATGCCGAAGGGTTTAAAATAGAGGGAAAAATGCTCTTTGTTGTTGCGTTTTTGTGTTAAGAGTAATGGTCTCGGCTGTAGGCCTGTCACGATACGATAAGAATTAAGTCATATTTTAACACGTAAATATTATATTGCAGTAATACTAGTTAGTACCTAATTAAAACTCAATAATTTGGGGAAAAGTACGGGAAAAAACGGCTTGATGCATCGTCCCAAAACAATCCACCATTGTTTCGTCTAGACCCTAAACAATCGCACTGGCCGCAAAAAACCCATATCATTTGATTTCCACATAGATACATAAGACGGACAATCATTTAAAAGAAACAAAAATCAGTTTTTGCAGAATCTCCGTAGACGACCTGACTGCAGACAATAATCTGAGTGGCAGCTGTAAAGATCATGTTAATCTCTGAGTTATGTTAATTATTGTGACAGGCCTACTCGGCGGGGTCACTTACACGGAGATGCGGGCGAGGAGAGTCCGCCGTCAGGGGGCGTGCTGTTGGGTTTAGAATCGGGCATGGGGAGGGGCACTGGGCGGGCGACGGGGGGAGGTGGAGGCAGCAAGAAGGAGCCTGGCATTTTGCTCTGGCCACTCCCGTTTGGCTGCAGACAACACAAACAGGGTCAGCAGGGGGCGACATGCGACAATCCGGCAACACGGAATGAGGAAAAGGACGTGTCTTGGTCCAAAAAATATCCATGACGTGGATAAGGTGGTGAGGAAGGGTAGGTGGGGAACAGGAACAAAAAAAAAAAATGATATATGCGGACGGCATTCTTTATGGAAAATCATAATCACCACAGGGTTGGATTGAAAGAACTGGGTGGCTGGAGCGTAAGGGGGTGGTCCACGGTGGGTTGAGCAAAACCACTAGTTGAGGGCATCCAGAAAATGGCAAGAAATCAAAACCATGGGCGATTATACTCTTCTGCACAATCACAACACCACTGATACTGTCACCAGACAACCAATCTCAACTAAAATCAACTAGTGGATGAAACACAGCACAATGACGCCACAGACAAGTATGTTTGTAAAGAGCTGGGTCACTCTGATGGTGGTACTTTCTGAGGGGTCGGGTGGAGCAAGGAAACAAAATGGGAAGACACAATCGGGCAGTAACAGCAAACGGCAAAATGACAAGACAAAACAGAGAACAACTGCAGCGCTCATATAATCATCAAGTGTCGGATAGGTTCACGGTGTTCAGTGTTTTGTGTGTTTGACTATAATGCACTTTATAAAGTGAATAGTCTTGTGGAATGAACAAATATTGGACAGATTGGACTTGCACTAAAATGTTTGTGCTGTATGTGTTTAGCAATAGAAGCAATCACTATCCAAAGTGTGCCTTTTTATGTTTTCACTGTGCCATTCAGATACTATACTTTTAGCTATACTTAACATTAGTTTTTGACCTATATTTATCTAGTACACTTACATTGAGATTTTAGGATACCTTTATTATTATTAAAGTAAAGTAACGTAACATATAAGTGTTGTTTTTACTGAGCTACAGTGCATGTCTGCATGCATTGTCAGTAACATGGTAGACCTACCTGTCCCCCGGCCGGCCCTGAGCCGTCAGCACAGACAAACTGCACAAATTCCTTCAGGGGGTCCTGTCCTGGGTGGTGGTGGTAGCGGATGGTCGGGTGGGTGAAATATGGGCTAGACTGCTGGATGATGGAGGGAGAGGGAAAGTGCAGAGCGGAAGCTGAAGCACGAGGACTCCCTGCAACGAAACATGTTTGTGTTAGAGCCGAGAACTGGACATGTGCGACACTGAGAGATATGGACGGACACCAAGCACGCTTTAGAGATGAATTATAACTTACCATCTTTTAGAAATGATTTAAGGATTGAAGCTTTCTGAGTTATAAAAGGTTGATGTGTGTGCAGGTGATTCACCTCATCCTTTACATTGGAGAAAAGTGATTTATCATAATTTACAGAACTAAACCACTAAACTCACACACTTTTACTTTAGCCCAGTTTAGCACACACAATATTGATAAATAGACCACATAGTACATTCAGAAAATGTAGGATAATGAATGGTTACAAGTACATAAGTGCAGAAAAACACAAAGGGATGATTGTTACAGATGGTGTTACAGATTGGGAACAAATTGGCATCCATCGCACAAATACATCTTTGCTATTGACAGAATAGTAACTGCATCAATGACAATTTAAAAAGTATTATACTACTCCTTTTTTGTTAACAAATAGGTATTTTTAAAGATTGCATCGATGACTGGAACTGCACGGAGACCAAGTGTGCTGCAGGTGGTCTTGGCCTTTTGAGGAGCGAAGGATTACGTTTCATATTTCCACTGGTGCAGCCACGTTTGTGAACATTCTCAATGGAATACTCTTACTCTGAATACAACTTGAACACAGTTGAACAGTTTTCTCTGTGTTGCTGGAATACCTGATTTTCAGGAAGGAAGTTTATCATTAAACACATATAACTTGTTCCTAACTGAAACAAACCCTTCAGTATCGGTATTCACCTGCATGAATGTTGGGCCACCAGCATCTGTTTATTTTGTTTTTTTGACAAAAGTAATAAATCATAAATAAATTACCCTGTTCCACAATTGTTTTATATTCTCTGAGGGTTATAATAATACATTTTATTTATATGGCACCTTATATGACCACTCGAGGTCGTTATGAATGTAATAGTTGTGGGGTTACAGCACACTCAAATGTATAATATATTTATCTTTGACTGATGGTTATATTTACCAGGAGTATTTCATGTTCTGTATTGCACACATGGGCCTTCCTGGCTCCACAAAACAGGAGCACATATAGCAGACCCAATAGAGTTGATTTTCTTTTTTGTGAGCTGGAACATTTGGACAAGCCCTGCCATCACACACAAAGGCTTCTCTGTCCGACCTATATCCATTACTAAATCTCCTTGATTTGTATTAACGGCCTGTTCTCCTCTTAGCAGTGCCAATCTGACACCCATTGCACCATCCATCCCATCCAGGCCCCCAGCTGCCTATACAGATGCTGCCAAGCCTTTTTAGAGCTTGTCTCGCTCAGATTGTATGTGTGAGTGCACTTCATGGGAATACACCCCAGACAGGGCCCTCTGCCTTTGAGCCCACAGCACCTTGCACCCATGCCAGCCTGCCGCTCTCCACCGCAGCTCCTATAGCTCCTATAATCCCATTACAGACTGGGTGCAGGCCAAAGCCTCTGAGGGGATGGGGGTGGCGAGTCGATGGAATGGGTGCTAGTGATGAGGAGGTCTGGGATCAGAGGGAATCCCCAACACCAACTCTATTTTCTGTGGATGGTGTACGTGAAAAAATCCTTCATCGGTAACTGCAGCGGACCATGGAGGTATTACTTAGATCTTTATGTCATGTACCGGCCTAGGAAATGTCGGGGATTCCCATAGAGAGCACAATACATAGTTTCATATTTCTCTTCTCCAAATGATGAAGTATACATAAATGTCCATTGGCGATAGACTTTTTAAAGTAGACTTCAATAGAAAGAGCAAACTATTTGATAAAAAGTACAGTTTGCTCTTAAAAGCAAAAAAAAAACATCACTTGCTTGACAATAAACGGTCTGCTTTGGCAAATATGGGTTGCGCATTCATACATTCCATTCTCTCTTTTACTTCAGGTCAATAAAGAATTAAGGCATCACTGGTGACGTGGCGGAGACGTTCTTGCTCCTGTACTTCATCTGCCTATAGAACATGTAAATCCCTGCTGCTGCTCGCACATGGGACCTGATATGGTCTACATGTGCTGGTGTGCGGGGACCAGCTTCACTGAAGTTACATCTCCAAAGACTCATGGTCTGTCAGCAAGTGCAGAGGAGGTCTAATGTCACAGCGGTCAACCTCATTTCTTCACATCTGCTCAACTGCCGCAAGGACGCTTTGATGTAGCCGCACTACCGAGGCAAAGCACATGGGTAATTATGTCCCGTGAGCTCCTATAGCCCAGGCGGCAGACATGACATTTCAGAGGAGCAGATCAGATACCATCCTGTATACACAAAAACAACATCGTGTAGATATGTTGTCAAAAGCATTTAACTTAGTATGATAAGTTTATAGTGTCTGCTGGAGGGCCGGCTGCTTTGTTGGCAACATTCCTGGTGGATTTCTGAAAACCTGACGTGTGTCAATAAGGTCAGAACTGAATTCAAACTGTCTAGTCTAGTTTGATTGAATTAAATCTTTGAGCAGAGCTCAGAACATAGTGCAGTAGTAGTTCTAAATTTTCTTAAACACGTGCTTGCATGCACATATAGGCTGGTGGAAGATTTCACGACAGAACTGAGGTGTCCTTGGTCCCACTGGACTAATAAACATAATCTTAAAAGAAGAACCTGGATTGACAGGTTAAGATGAAGGGATATTCATGGTCCCACAGTGGGGACATGTCAGTGTTGCATCACAGGTTACAAGACAGTAGGCACACAAAAGTTACTGTGAATAGTGTAGCACAACTCTATGTCCAACACTTGGCTTTGATGATAGTAGACAAGATCATAGGGCAACCACCCAACCACCAAGAGACACCCAGAAAAGAAACACCACCCTTCAGCCTGTTCGACCCGGGCGTCTACTGAGCACCAAACCAGCTCCCCAGGTCCTGCCTCTGTGCCAGGGGAAGGGCTGAGGGTACAGGGGTGGTGAGGGGGTCTGGGGACCTGGGGTCTGCTCTCACCTGGTCTCACTCCCGCCAGCATTGGCAGTGGGTGGTGGGTGAACGCCATGCGGGGGGACCTCGTCTGGGAGGACAGAGCGCTGAAATCGAATTTCCCCGACTTCTTAAGTGAACCAGGCGACGAGAGTCCTGGTAAAAAGGGGATCAACAAAATGGCAGAACAGAGACCAGGGTTTAATTCAACATGGATCCGCTGCTTACTGCAACTCTATGAAAAATTATCATAAAGTATATTAAGGCTTTAAGGGTTTATCTTCAAATGACCTAAATCAATGAATGGATCGATTGATTGGTTGCCTGTTTTTACATTCAGATGAGTCTAACAGACAGTTGTTTGTGTACAGTCAGCACACTGCATCACAGGTTGAGGGCAGGAGGAAGTGGAGGCTGGGACCGGGAGAGGCCATGCTGCGAGGCCATGTTTAAGCAGCAGCAGGTCAGAGTGAGGGGCAGAGGCGGAGGGGCGGGGCACAGTGGCAGGAGAGGAGAGCTGGAGATGCACTGGACTTTCACCAACTACACACACTATTGCTCTAGATACAGCATCCAGCTGGATGTTCTATCTTACTATTACAGAGCTGAGAAAGCTGTTTCTGGATGGAAGTTTTTGATGCTACAAAAATAAAATACAGTAAATATAAAAAATACGTACAGTAGACTCACTGTGAGACGATTTAAATAATGCAAATGTAGCTGTGTAATTTTTTTGTATAGCAAGAAACAGGAATTGTGTTCTGTCCAATTACCATGTGCGTTTGGATGCTTTCCATCTCTGACGCACTTTAATACATTGGTTGTCCACAGGGATGGAACATAACTTAGAACTCATACTATTGGCTCATAGACTGATAAACCCGGTCCAAATAATGACTATTTGCTAAATTAATGCACAATCACACTTGCTTTTGAGGATACCATGCATTCTACAAAGCACACCAAGACGGATACTCACTACATTTGTCAAGACACCTCTTCAGAATGAATGGGACATTGGCTGGCCTTTACTGGCGGCAGACTGTGTTTTCCAAGCAAAAGCCGCCATGAATAACCACATATAACTGCGGCAGACCAGGCCAAAGCACACATCAATAGATCCTCTGATGTAGTGCCCTTCTGCATATCTGTCTGTCAGGTATTTTATGTTAATGCCATAGCCATATTTCATAAAAGAGTGCTTCTACTCACAACAGGCACACACATTCACACAAGCTGGCAGGCCCTGGGAACGCTGCCAGTTTGAGCCAGAGCAGGAGCGCGCCCAAAAGACGGAAGAAGTTAAGCAGCGGAGGAGTGGAGATGACATGACCGCGCCACATAGACAAACAAATTAAACTGTCCCCCTGTCTATAAATGTCAAGTTAGGCTAAAGAGTGCAGTGAAATATCTCTGCCTTGGTAAAGTTGGACAGGGTAAGTACAGGCCAAGCTTCACCAGGCGACCAAAGACCCAATGTAGTGTGCGGTGAGTGAAATAATTGGCTCAATAAAACCAAAGAATAATGAAAGTACAGAACATAGACGACATTATTCCGTTTTGTTTGCTTCGTAATTGTAAAATCCTGAGATAAACAACCTCGGAGAGTAAAAGGCCCGTAAAAAGCTAAACGGCTCAATATTCGCACATATAAAACAAACGAGTAAAGATGTGGGTAATTTCAACATGGCCATGAGATGTTGAAATAGATTTTACGAGCGATGCATATAAAATGTAACTGAGGCGATTTCTGAAAAAACCCTTTTAAAGCTACACAGGGAAATCTTGTAGCGCTGTTTGCCCACAGTGGCCATTGCAAAGCGCAGACAGCTGTGCCTGTGTGGGCACCAACAAGTTTAGAAAGAGGTGGGCGTTTGCAGTCGCACTTATGTTCAGCCCCACGCGGCACAACGCAACATAACCCAACATGGAGGTGGGAGGAATGCTCAAACAAAAGGTTATTTTATACCGATACAACTGTGGTAAAAGTAAAGTCGTAGAGACGATAGGTAGACTAAGGCCAAGTGAAATATCTGCCTGAATGTCTTGTTTTCATTGCTGTACTGTTTTTTAAAAGAAACGTAAGGCTGTTGAATCCAGATCAAACAATGTTACTGCAAATCTAAAGGTTGTAAAAACAGATATTTTAAGAATATAAATGATTAACTTGTCACTGCAGTTACTATTACCTACTTATAATTCAATAATGTAGATACTAATATTGACATGAAGCAGGGATGAATGATTGAACATATGACACTAAAGCAGTACAATGTTTTGTGTTGTATATAAAGTGAAGGAAACAACATTTTTTGTTTTGACATTTTTTTATGAACACAACATGCTGTCTAGATCTGATGTTATGTTTTGCATACTTGTTCGAAAGTGTCTCTGAGCCACTATTTGACGCTTTTGGCTGAGAGATGAGTCCTCTCTTTTTCACATTTCTATGACTGCTCTCAAAAATGCAAGAATTGGGGAAAAGTTAGGTTTCCGTCCTAAAAGAAAATCTTTGCAAAATGGACTTAGAAATGGACTTAGAAAAGTGTAAGTTAGCTAATTTAAGAATAAAATTATCCTACTAAGAAGACAAGATGAACATTCCTAAACTTTAGGATAACTGTTTATTGCAAAAAATTTCCCAAAAAAAGGCAAAATGCATTTTGCTAGATTTAATGTTTAATAATACACGCTGAAAGAAAAACACTTTGTTGATAATAAAATATGCATGTTGAACTTTCTAAATTAGATATTTGTGTTGTGCGCGATGGCAACAGGTCAATCTAATCAAAAATGTTGCTATAACAGTTGTTTGCACTAATGAAGAGTCAAGGGAAAATGTATAATTTCAACAACCATTTTGCGTCCCCAAGCACCCTTACGATGTGAATGTCAACATGTTGTGTGCTTAATACATTTTGGCAATAAAAAGAGTGTTCTCCTCAGTGGCATATATAGGCACGACTGCCTGCCACATGACAAGTTTAATTATAACAAACCCATTATGCATAAACAGCCCTAAATTATACATATTGTTTTTTAGTCTCAATTTTACTCCCTAAATAGCCACTATCTGACTCAAATATCTGCTTCTATGTGACTTTGCTGCGAGAAGCAGAAAATGAAGCCCAGATGCCCAATGAAAGCCTTTTCTGATAAAGCTAACAGAAGTTACTCTGATCTCCGTGTTAATCTGCGTGCGCGTGTGTGGGTGTGTGCACGTGAATGAGTGTGCGCGGCCACACAAATGGCGTTGTTTGTTCGGCATTATTTCGGTGTCCTGGCAAACGGCTATAGCAGACTGGCGGCCAATTGCTCCCATGACCCTCCAGTGTTGCCACGCTAACAAGCTGGCCACCGCACAAACCTTAGCATTAACACCACACAGGAGTCCACATGCGCCATGCTCCGAAAGTGCAATAATAAAAGCTAGCGCATTTGTCAATAAATAAGCTACTTTACACACATTGGGGCCTGTCCAAACCAACGTCACATTCGGGCAATGAAAATTTTATTTTTTTATTATAAGGCTGCAAGTAATTATGAAAATGTAATGCTTCAAGCTTCAGTGTAGTGGTGGAGACTTCTCAAACCAGAAAAAATATACATTTGTGTCACTATAAAGAAAATTTGCTCAGCCCCCTTTCCACAATAGAACATATACCTATATATTGAATTCAACAGTGCAAACAAACAGTAGTAGTATTTTGATAAATTTACAGTACAGATTGAAATGATGATTCCAAACAGACAGTTAAAACATTATGCATTTGGAACTATAGTTAATAATGTTGAGCCACAGTTTAGGGCTCAACATCATGAGAAAATTTCAGCATCCGTCCAACACATCAGCACTGGGCTGTAAAGGTACTACGCAAATTTCCCAAGTCAAAGGGTGGAATAGAAAAAAGGGCAGAGTTAATGATGATTTACATGATCACCTGCTATGCCTGGGAGCTTTTTGCTTCTCAGGTAAGAGATTCACCTCCAGAGCTGACACCCTCCGCCCTCCTCCTCTCTCCCAGACTGCACCGCAGCACCATGCGAACAGATGTCCGCTGTAACCCAGTAGCTCCCTTCGCTGTGAACACATGGAGGCGCCATCTGGACCGGAACGCTGCTCCTCTCCAGATTGGAAGTGTATGCGTATGTGAATGTAAATCAGAGAAAGCAGTGTATACATGTGCTTAAATCTAATATATTTTGTTTCAGAGGCAGACGGTGCTTTGTGCGTTCGTGACACACCTGAGAGCCTATAGTCATGTTTGTTTGTGATGTGTGTGTTTTAGGGGAGAGGGTTTAGGCAGGTGGGACTCCACTCGACATCTCTCTCTAAACAAAACTACGCCACAATCCCCTGTTCACAACAGCCCCCACTATTCCGATGTCTTTCATCACTGGCATCCCCTCTCAGGGCTTGACAACAAAATTACTATAGCAGCGCACTTATGGAACACAAATTCACACTGGCATCACAAACTCTTGTTTGTATTCATGTGGAGACATGAGACAAAGAGGTTTTCTGAAACTGTAATTGTAAAATGGTTTGTTTCACCCAGAGCGGCCGGCCTATAAGATAACAATAGTCTTGATACTAGGCATCATACAGCTGCACTGAGAATCACAAAGCCACTGATTCTAGATTCAAGGTTGTTAATAAGGAGATAGGTTTTCACATGTTATCAGTGTAATCAAGTAAAAAAAGAAATACATAAATACATAATAATAATCTTTAATATAAATTATTTATAAATAAACCATTACTGGTCTCAGTGATCTGCTAGATCTCAATTTCTAATTTGACGTTTAAAAAAAAAGTTAAAATATAGACTAAAGTGACAAATACAATATTTTATTTTTGCACCAAACGAATTAATCTGTGCATAATGCAGTCAATCACAACGAAAGACTAAGACATATGAGTGAGGAGAGCAACAGACACATCAGTCTGTCCCTGACATTTGTTGAGTCACTCTTCTAAACAAGTGACTGAACGTCATCTTCAGTCCTTCTCACTGTTACTGCCACATTTTAAAGTATGTGTCGATAATTGCGAACTATCGACCTTTCAGTGTTTGGCACTGGTCTCATCAGTTATATTCAGGACCTTTGCTGAAATCTATTGCTCCCTTGAGAATCTCAGAGCCATATTACTGTATCTGGCTACAAAGTATACAACACATTAAATGAAAATACCATTGCACTATGGCAAAAGTTATGCCAGTAGTTCAACAAAGTCATGGCACACTTACAACTGCAATTGTCGTTGAAATTGTACAGCACAACCTTTGTACACTTATGACCCAGTTTTTAATACTTGATAATTGTTATGGAGCTAAAGGGCAACCAAGCAGCTTTGGCAAGCCCCACATTAAACAACACCAACAACTGGAAGAGAAACACAACCCCACCCAGCGGCAGCAGAGAAACCCAGACACCAGGGCAGGATGGGCATGGGGCAGGACAGGAGGAAGACCCCAAGGACAAACAGGCAGAGAGAGGAGTTGGCAAGCCAATGGGGAGCAGAAGCAAACATGAATGGAATACAATATAATGTTGAATGTGCTAACCATGGTAAGGAAACTGCACTCCATCGCTCTCATGCTTAATCTTCCTCTCCTGCACACTGGCCAAATGGTGCTGCACTGAAAGGCCAAACAGGGGAGAAAGGAGAGTTAACAATGAAGGAGAGAAAGACAGAAAGAGATTTTGGAAAATAAGAAAAAACAGGAGGTTGGTTAAAAACAGGCGACATGGGACTTTCATGATATAGAGAGCACCAACTGTCTATTAAAGTGACATCACTACTGTGGCGCCTACATTCAGTAAAAAGCATGTACGGAGAGACATATACAGTAACTAAGCAATTTAGGACAAGTCTGAAAGCCTAGTACTACACCCAAGAGAAGAGGGGAAACACTTCACTTGACAGGATGTTTTAAGGTGGAAATGGAAAGAAGTCCAAATCAAACCAATATTATTTAGGGGCATTTCCGCAGATGGAAGGTTTATTTGAGAATGCTGTGCACTATGTAACTTGGTTCAGAGATAATTTTTCTTTAGATGGTGTTAAACGTAATATCTTACATCGGGCCCATATTCCAAATCAGATGTTTACGTTTATATCACAACTAATGATGCTTTTCAAAACTATTGATAAAATTCACATTTTAATGTTTGCAATGGTCTGTACATGTACATAGGTGTAGGTCATACATATTATTACTGAATGTAATCAGACCTATAGGAATGTTAAAAAACAATTTAATTTAAAGTTTTCTTTTTTTTCCTGTAAAAAAAATGACTACAACATATTTTTAACAGACCATCAAAACAAGCAAAGGTATTGAATTACACTGAATTAGAAAATGGCTTTGAAGAGCATCTGGCAACAGCGTCTTACCCAAACAGGCACAACAGCCTAACGTCATCGATGGGAATATTAAATTTCTCCACATAAATACTGGAGTAGTTGTGCTGAGATTTAAAGAAAGGTTTGCACCGAGGGGAAATACTTTCTGACGGAGTGTTTTGGCTTTTTGGACTTTTAGTTCTGAGGTTTTATACATCCATCAATGAGTTGTCTAACCCCACCCTGTTTAAGAGGTGAAGCGAACACAAGGATCATTTTTCAATAATCAAATTCTGTGCATATTCTAGGGGAAAACAGGGGAAGTAATGATCAACAGGAAATTGGGCTATTGTTCCTGGTGGGGATAAATAATGTACAAAAGAAAGAGTGCGGTGTGGGAAAAAAAGATAATTTCACATCTGAAGGTGCGCTAAGGTACCAGCTGTAAAGAAAACTCTACAGGCAAATTCACCTTTTTTCCAGAGTTGTGCTTTTGTGTCACAAATATAGCCTTATTTATTGTAGTAATCGAGAATGTTTTAACGTTTTCCTGAACCTCAGCGCAGCTCTAGACCTGGGAGGTAGTGGGCGTTGGGGACATACCTGCATCAACGTCGTTAGGCCAGCCGCTGGACTGAGAGCTGCTGCCTGCTGCGGGGGACCGTCCCGAGTAGAACACGTCATCCACAGGGCTCTCCATCTCACTGTCGTCAATCGACTTGCGTTTGTTGGAGCTGAAACCACACACACAATTAGGTTGAGGTGTCTTCTTCATAGACTAACTTTGTTTAAACTTTACATCTTGGAGACATATAGTTCAGTGTTTATCATCTCAAAAAATAATAATAATAATTTATTAATAAATTAAGGCTGCAGTTTGAGTCTTCTAGTTCTAAAAACATACTAAATTATATGTTTATAAATATAAATTAACATTTTAGAAGATTTTGTGTGATAAAACACAAATTAATTGTACAATTATGTTTGGATTATGGTAATCACCAAAAACTCAAGGCCATGAAATTGAAGCTTTGTTGTAAGTAAATGTATGGTTTAGATCAATGCTTTTTCAACCTTTATTTCACCAGGATTGTTCCACCACAACCTCTTTCAAGGCAGTCGTGGCCCCAGAGGGGAGAAGCTTATTGTACATGTTTTTAATGGAGCCCTCGGAGGAAACCAACACAGACTACATTCAGGACCTCAGCCACCATACTTGTTAATGTTGTCAGAAAGACTGGGTAGTGCTCATGCCTCACTGCAAAAAGGTTGCAAGTTTGAATCCCGTGCTGACCCAGGCCTTTGTCACTGTGTCTGGGTGGGTTTCCTCCGGTTTCTAACTAAAACAGTATGAAGGATGGGCCAAGTTTTATTTATTTATTTGTTTATTTGAGCAGACAAGTACTGCTCAAAAGGAGTGGGCCGAAGCAAGAGCTTATTGGTGCCCACCCCCAAAACAAGTTCTCCCTACCCTAGGGACTATAACCCTGCAGGGACATTTAAGTGTACCTTAATCTTAATATTAGAGTAAGTATATCATATTTGTCACAAGGCCTTTTGTAGCATTTAACATATTACTTTTACGGCTGTATTTTATGGCTATGCTAAAAGAGTACAAGATCTCATAGTACAATGACATTAAATCTGCTTCTGAGAGTCACCAGACAATTTATTTTGATATTTATGGACGACAACATGACATAATGATCAAGTGGTGATGTTAAAGTCTGGAACATCAATACACCATTTGGTAATATTTGGTCACATATGATTCTTCTTATGTGCAATTTTCAAGTTCAGAAGCAACTATTGTAAATAACATTATCACATGATGATTTCATGAGACACCTGGTGATTTCTTGTGTGGCACAGTTGTTAAAGTGCCTTCTCTAAGGTTTTTGATCAGACGGGACTTTCTCTGTGAGGGAATAAGCACACTTTTCAGTGTCATATGTCGTCAGATTATGTTGGTAGTGTTTCCTATGCGGTGGTGATTGCACATGGTCCAAAAAAAACAAAATGCTTTGGAACATCTCCGTGTCAGGAGTGTTTATACAATTTGGCTGCTCACTTTTGCTTGGGCAACGTGCAGCTATGGCTAACTCCTATTGGCTCAACAGTGGTTCTTATGAGGATAGCGCAAAGGATCATGGTCAATATAGTTTACAGTTCTTTGGTCTGTGGGTTAATTGTGTTTTCTGACAGATGCCAGTCCTTTGAATACCATAACATGACAGTGCCTCTCTCACGGTGATATCCTCAGTATGGTTACATCCCTACTTGTCACTATAGTAATGTACAGCGGGGATGTGCCAGTGAGACACCTGCATCAGTACCAAGGGAGAGATTCAGAAATGAGTGTAACTACCTCCGTGGGAGACTTGCATAAAGCTCCATTTCAGTCCTGCAGCGTAAGATGAGTGGACGGCAGAGAGGGGATAAAGAGAGACAAAGACAGAGTGAGGTTGAATGAGAGGGTTAGTGGTGGAGGAATCACGGGTTAGAGGGACAACAGCCAAAAAAGCCGAAGAGAGAAGGGTTTTATTCAAAGGATTAGAAAAGTTAGTATGAAATAGGCACAAGAACCATTCCTTTGTTTTTAAAAACACACACAATCCATTAAGATTATTATTGTTGACTTGTAAAGCCAAATTAAATCCACATTTATGAACTAATATATATATATATATATATATATATATATAAAATATAGTAGACTTACGGAAAATAATGAAAAGAATTTCTACAATACCACTACTAGGGAAAAGTGTAGACCAGACTTAAATAGAGGCCCTTTTTACCTTGTGGAGGGTGTGGAGGTGATGGACCGCCGGCCTAGGGTCACCTGGTTGATGTTGTAGTAGCCAGGGCTGTCGAGGTCAGCTAAAGAGAAGTTGGGACCTGACGCCGTAGCAACTGGCGCTGAAAAATGCAAATTAGACATATGTGTAAAAACCAGGAGTATCTAACCAATCATTGGAAGAGAAGATACAGCTTGTTAGTGATTAATGAGAATCTTGACTCACTCTGTGAGACACGGACAAGCTCGGCGACATTCCACACTCCTGAAGTCACAAAGCAGTCCTGAAAACTCAGATTCAAATGGCCTGTGGAGAAAAGACACCACATGTCAAGGACCACATGTGCAGAGACACTATTATCTCGCACACATGCTAACTTTAGTTTCAATAGGACTCAATGAAGCGTCTTAGTAAGGTGTGAATAATCATTTTTGTTTTTAGAACAGTGCCTCTTTGCCACTGAGCCAGACAATGTTACCTCTGGATCACATCAATAATTGTATTCATAATCAAGAACCATACTGACTTCAGACAAGTTTTCAAACTTGTCTACTTGTGCTACATAGACAGTCATGCACACAAGCCTACATCATGAATCCACAGGCCTACGCCATGTATCCATAGGCCTATGCCATGCATTCATCTGTGATTTTATATTGATGCATGCAAAAGTATTTTTTATTACATGACTTTTTGCAACCTTTGCGCATTTGTGCCTTGGGGCAACAGATGGAAATTAGCCTCTGGCTATTTTCTGACATGACAATCATGCTTTGTCATTTCTGGTCTCAACCAAATAAATGAATTAAAAAATAAATAAAACATGTATAATATATTGCCAGTCCAGAATGCAGGACATAGTTGTCAAACAGGGAACTCATTCTAAAGAGACAAAAACTGATGTTACTGGATTATACTCTCCAATAGTCTTTATGCATAAAACTATTAAACCATATGATATTGTATTGTCATTACGGTGCAGCGGTATTGTTTTTGTATTGTTCTATGAGACATTTTTGTTCCAAAAATTGAATGCGTTTGGGGGATTTGGAAATGTGTATCTTGATTGGAAATAAATATTTTGATTGATTGATTGACAATGTAACCTCATAAAAATGTGCTGCCATTGGGCTACAATGCAGATGACGAATGATTTAAATTATAACCAGCCATACAATGTACATTAGTGTGAAATGTGTGCAACTGTACATTTCTAATCACGTCCCCTCCCTCCATATGTCACCTCCGTCGCCTCCTTCAGCTCACCCTGAGTATCTCAGGCTGGGGTTAACCACAGCAGGGACAGCGTATGAGGTCAGCGCTCGGCTCGGCAGCGGCCATGTGGTTCCCATCTTCCAATAACGTCAGTGTGATTTATGAGAGCGCCGCACACAGCCCCCGCTCCTCAGGACCATCAACTCTCCTTACCATAATAAACTTTAGACTCAACTCAGCCGGGACACTAGCACACAGTGGCTAGTATGCAGAGGAGAACGGCAAGTGTGGGACATGCATATACATGTGAAAAGCACACTTAGGCTGCATTTCAGATTTATGCGGCTAGGATTTGGAACAGTCTTCCTGAAAATGTGAGACAGGCGACTTCTGTGGCAATTTTTAAGTCTAGGTTAAAAACGGTTCTGTTTAGCTGTGCTTACAACTGAATGATTTTATTTTTTGGTGCACTATGGCTATTTATGATTTTAATCCTGTGTGTGATTCTAATGTTTTAATATTTTTATCACTTGTGTGATTTTATTTTTTCTGTTTTTAATTTTGGTGTGATCTCATTGTGTGTTTTTAATGCCCTTTGTGATTTTAATTGTACTTTTAATGTTTATGTGGATTTTAATGTCTAGGATTTATGCAGGATGTAATATGGGTTGTGAGGCGCCTTGTGTTGCCTTGTGTAGGAAAGGCGCTCTACAAATGAAAGTTGATTGATTGAAGTTGACTTAATCAGCTCTTACCATTTGGTGGGGGCTTCACGTCGTTGTCTCCTTGCTGGTTTGAGTTGTCTGATTGTCCTGATTGTTCTGCAATGCACAAACGGACAGACAAAATACTGTTAAAAAACTTTACTATTACCTTTCAGTATTTGTGGTACATACACCAATCAATGTGTCACATCTTTAGATCAGCTTTTCAAGAGATAGAGAGGACCACCTTCACTCAGCTAATCAGCTCTCAGTGCAAAGCATCCAAAAGTGACTCACAGGGCTCTTTCTTACAAGTATGCAAAAGTCTGTTTGAAAAATACAACATGTTGTGATTTGATTCGTTCACAAAATGTTACTTATATATAAATATTTCTGGCAAAATGTGATATTTAGGGTAAAAACACACAATAATCTTTGACTTGCATTCCTTACATATACTAAACAAAAGCAAGCAAATGAAGTACTGTGCAGCCTGACGACCAAGGACTGTTGTTCAAGCCCCTTTACTTGTAAAGTTCGCATGTTTGGGTTGCTGGCATAACATGAAATTCCTTCAACTAAACCACTCGATCTCTGCTGTGTTTGTGCAAACGTGTAGCCACAAAATTGCTTTCCTAAGCTAGTTTAGTTGGACCTACAGAGTGCCATTCTTTTCTTAATATGTAATGCGCCCTCTTGGAGTTTTATAGATGCGTATATACCATTCAGGTCAATTAGCCTAAAGCGCTAGGGCTTTAAGACTGCACTGGGCCTCCTCTCCTTCTTGGTCCATTGAGAGCGTAACCCCCACAATCTTATCATCTTCTAACCCCAAATCAGCGTCCCAATCTTGGGTGACATTGGTGCATCATGTGCCAGCCATTTGTGTGCCAAAATGTTGGAGACAAAATGAGAAAAGCACCTCATCAGACTGAAGAGGAGGAGCACACAAGGATAGAGTTACTTCTCTCTCACATGTTCATTTTGAAGCTTTACAAAGTCCATTTTCTACGTCTTTCTCCCGGCTTTTCTCCACACACTCTGCTCCTCTCCACTGGTGCTGTCGCTCTGTGGAATTCTGGCAGCCATCTTAGCGCTTGGCAGCCATCTTAGCTTTGGCGGTACCGGTGCATTCCTGTTCGCTGACGGCACTCAGTCTCACACACAATCATATAAACAAATCCAGCAATTCCTGACTTGAAATTAATGATAGGAAGAGCTATTAAGGATCAGCTCATCTAATAAACTGTTGTGTTGAAGACACTTTATGGTCTATTGCAAGATTGGATTAGGGATGATTCATAAGACTCAATTTTCTGGATTTAAAACTAATTATTTAAAACATATCAATAATTCCTATGAGGGGATACTGTGCTGCTCCACTGAATAGCAATGATGACATACAATGAATCACAATGTATAGGTCTTATAGGTAGAAACGAAACAGTCAAAATATATGTCTACTAAAATGTGAACTCTGCTTCAAACCATAAACTGTACCATCACCTGCTTCACTAGACATTCACAATAATAAAGCCCCAGGCAAATGAAAAATGCCTGATCTTGATACTCAAATAATTACACAACTCATTTGCAGAAGGTTTATTTCCTTGGGCTATTTCACATCCACCTGGGTTAGCATTCACACACCTGTATATATACAGTGCATCATCTGCATTAGATTTCATTATGTGTCACAGTTTTGCGGCCAAGCATCAAATTGCCCTGTTGTCATGGAAACGGGGACCACAAACCACAGTTGGAGCAGGAGATGCATATGTGTCGCTGTTCGGCCTGGCAATTAGTTTGAAAGAAGATAATAATATAGCCTACTGGCATGGGCTCAATAACTTGTTTTGTTTAAGTATTTGTTGGCAGAGAATGGTTTGGCAGCCTCCGCGCTACTCTGTAACAAGGATATTTTTTAAAACTATCAGTCTGTCCGTATTACTAGGTGTTAAATCCACTTGTATGTGCAAAATGGAAGCTGAAACCCAAGAGGTGCAACTTTTGGCTTGCTACGAGCCGGGTTTGAGAATGGATGGATGAAGAACTATAATTGGAGGGCCACGAGCCGGCTCTCTTACAAGAAAAGTGCCATCGTGAGTTTTAATCTCTGTGCAACTAAAGAAAAAATGTCCCATCTGCTGTTCTGTGAGTGAGGCCATCTATTGGCATTGGGGAGGTACACACTACATATTTGTAATGTCCTTATACACATGCTAGTGCATTAGCGGATTGAAATCCGATTAAATTTAGGGGTCACAATTAGAAAATTAGTTAAAAAACTACTTAATTCAAGAGTGTCAGAAATATTGACTAATTGACTTGTTTTCCTGTTAAGCATTTTTATATAAAAACAGAATTGTCTACTTTTTCAAATGTCACATCTTTGCAAAATAAATATTGTTCCAAATCTTGAATTAATAATTATTTAGGCTAGTGCAATGCAATGGTTATGTCCATAGTACACCACATCTGCCTGAGCGATGCTGCCAAATAAGGTGTATCTACAGTAAATGTCTTGGTTGAATGTAGAGGAAAAACATAAATTATGACTTCTTGACTACATTGTGGTAACTTTGCTGTCCTATACGCTTTATGTGATCTGATATTTTGTTCTGGACACCAGCAAAGGGAAAACAAGACAAAAAATTCTTGCAAACAGTTTCTCATCGGCCTGAACACGTGCACGCCTACATGACCAATCACAGGATACAGTCGGTGGTAACTATGGACTGAACAATGAGAGCATTGGCTGAAGCATATTTGAGTTACTTATTTTAAGTGGTGAAAGCTCACACTCAACATGGCTGGTTCCGTGGATGTTTCTTCATACAGTTTGAGATGAATTATGCTTATCTCCTGCTCACAGCCCCCCAAAGCCGCCGCACACTCCAAAACCAGACAAAATACACAGCACTATCATGCTAATAATAGGCTAGGCTAGGTCTTCATACTCTCTTGTTTTGTATACAAAGCGTTAACACTAGCTGTACATTTATCACACTACTCATACAGACTGGCCCTTAAACCCTCACCTAGGCTAATGTACACAAAAGGCAGACAGGCACTTACTCAATCTCACTATTTAACATGAAAAACAACATTTGTTTTGTTGGGAATCGTTAGGAGACACTTGAACGTAAATGACATACACATGCTGGCATGCTAGAAGAACTGGCAGCCGTCTACTGAGCTAATGGACTCATTTAGTGTGCACATATTCATATAAGAGTTTGCTTTTTGCTCAACAGCAGAGTGGTAATTTGACAAACAGCTTTGAAATATTTGTTTGTGTCTCGGAAAACACACATGAGCAAACGAGCTTCTACGTACTTGAATGGGGAAGTAAGTAAGAAGAGGTTTCAGATAGACAGCAAGGCACTTAGCTGCAGCTCAGTGTGTTAAACTTGACAAGTATTGATGATTATTCTCACCTTAATGTTACCTCTATGGAAACAAATGCTCTATCAAAGAGTTTCTTTGTGAGATTGATGAGGACAAGCAACAGCTGCTGAGACATGATGGCACAAATGTGCTTGATTCTACATCAGCAGATGATACTTGAGAGGGGCTTGTCTTTTTCCATCAATTTTGGATTACACTTTTAATCATCACATAGGGCCAAATAAAGTATACATAGTATACATAAAACAGTCAGGGCCTCCTCCTCAGACTAGTTTTAACTTACATATAGTTATATAAAAATAAATTTAAAAAACTGTTAGTGTGTCAACAGACCCACACTTCTTATATTTGTCATGTTTCCTCCTCAGACTGTTTCCTCCTCAGCCTGTATCCTCCTCAGCCTGTATCCTCCTCAGCCTGTATCCTCCTCAGCCTGTATCCTCCTCAGCCTGTATCCTCCTCAGCCTGTATCCTCCTCAGCCTGTTTCCTCCTCAGCCTGTATCCTCCTCAGCCTGTATCCTCCTCAGCCTGTATCCTCCTCAGCCTGTTTCCTCCTCAGCCTGTTTCCTCCTCAGCCTGTTTCCTCCTCAGCCTGTTTCCTCCTCAGCCTGTTTCCTCCTCAGCCTGTATCCTCCTCAGCCTGTATCCTCCTCAGCCTGTATCCTCCTCAGCCTGTTTCCTCCTCAGCCTGTTTCCTCCTCAGCCTGTTTCCTCCTCAGCCTGTTTCCTCCTCAGCCTGTTTCCTCCTCAGCCTGTTTCCTCCTCAGCCTGTTTCCTCCTCAGCCTGTATCCTCCTCAGCCTGTTTCCTCCTCAGACTGTGCTCTGTGTTCATGTGTTGAAGACCTTAACGCTGTGTTCACAACTCAGGAACCTGGGTGTCTGAGTTCAAATATGGAGTGACTTTTTTATGTTCACATGCTTTAATCTCAGGAAGTCAAGGTTTTACTGTCTTAAGAAAAGTAAACCTGACAGATAATAGGTGCATACAGTGATTGTTCAACTACTCAAATGCCTAATGTTAGGCTTTTATTAAAGCAAGTTATTGTTAGCATTAGCTGTAATCTCGGGTTCCTTCAGTTGCGTGTATCTGTTGCTCTAATAATCAGAATAACAGACAGAATGTTTCGTGAAAGAACAAAAAAAATTCTGGATAAATGGATAAATCAACAGATGTGTGTCCATTTCAGTTCTTGAGTTGTCAGAAACACATTACCCAGAGTTTCCAACCTGACTATAGATGCCCTGACTCATCTGCTCGGTTCACTGCAAAAATCAACTGTACAATGTCAAAAATCTTTCACTGATGACAATATGAAATGGTTTTTAATCTATCAATTTGAACGAACAGGTTTCCAATATACAGAATTAAACTGTAATGAAATTGTTGCGTTTAGCATTTTTCATAAAATTTTAGAAAATATCAATACTGACGTAGTGTAGACGTACAGAGCTACGTTAGAGTAGGGTAGCAGCTATATTATAATACTATATCGTGTAGTTGAAAGATTTTTAATCTGGTCATCAAATTGTTCAATAAATGACTGAAATCATACATAACAATAAATGACAGCTCAATGTTGTTATACTCATATTCAAATACTGAAGCTGAAAAGAAAATGCTCATCAAATAAAACCTTTTATAAATATCCAAAGCGTTTGCTATAGTTGTTCCCGCATCCAGCACAATAACTATTGTACTGAGTCTGAGTTACATCTGAAATTCTTTGATCCTTTATTACATCACACCCTGCCCTGGTAAATAGCAGTGGGAAAACTGTCTAATCCTATATGAATACTGTGAAGGATTATCCATAACAATACGTCTGTTGCAACAGAACAAAGACTCAAAAGGGGTAGGATTTTATAGTTTTAACATCAGATACTGTAAAATCTCTTAACATGACACAATTTACTGAACAGTTTAATTGTATCTTGTCGCTTAGTTTAATATCAGTCTTCGCCTTCCCACCCCCACCACCCCATGCAGCCGCCTCTGGATAAAGACAGCCCCCAATTGGGTTTCGCTTAAGAGGTTTATCGGTGTGTTGCTAAACATTCTGACCTTTTTTTTAATCTTTAATGCGCTTAAAATGTTCCAAACCCTCCTAATCCCCACGGCTATCCCACACAGATGTTCACTCGGCTCTTTTATTGGACTTCATTTCAACCTCTTTTTCTTTCTTCTCCCTCCTCCCTCTACTTCTTCAGCATCTCATTTGTGCTCTCCACTCACATTAGGTTTGCTGACTTGTTTCCGTTTTTTCTTTTTTTCTTTTTTCAATCCAATTCCCCTCTTCACCAATCCTGACTCTGAAGTTTTAAGCCTGGGCCTCTGTCCTGCTCGTGAACCCGATCTTGTCTGTCAGAGGTGTCCCGGAGCAAATGAGACTTTATTAGCTCGACAGCAGCTGAATGCAACAGGATAATAAAAGAAGTAGAGCCCATTGCTATATTTACACAGTGTTCCTGCTGAGCCACTGGGATAGTGTTCCGCCCCGCCACACGGCTTAGTCATCCACTCTCCCTGTCATTTACTCATTTGTTTTTATGGCATGTTGTTTTAGTGTGTTGTCTTGTTTTACAGGGCTATAGTAAAAGGGTTGCACTGGTAAATGGGATAGACAGAACAACTCATTATAAACATCTGGTGTTACTCTTTCTGCAGTTTTGAAAAATATAGTAGAAACTAGAAAACTAGATAATTTGAAAACTGGCCAAGCTGTGAAATGAAGGTTTACTATAAAAAAGGAGGCTTCGCTAGATCTTGCATTTATCGGGTAATAAAGAAAATGTAGGGCACATGGGAGTAACACTACATCATGACACATGCAAGTTTACAATAGGTATGGTTGTGTAAAACATTTCTATATATGCTTGAATACTATGTAATGATTGGCTTACATAGTGGGATGTAATTCTCACAATGTTTTTTGTATTGTACTTTTTCCTCTACATCCACACAGAAGTGAACTAATCAGAATTTGAAGACTTCATTTCAGCGGCAATCTAACTCAGAGCCACAAAAAGCATGTCACCTCTTCAACCATGCACAGCTATGATGCAACTTACATTATCTTTACGCAAACACATAATATTTATTAGAAGAGTGATAAAGTCTATCCAGTGTTTTCCTTCTGTATGTTGCCTGTATGGAGTGAAACTTATGACCAATCAGAGCACTCATACAATTTAGAAAATAAATACGTAACTGGTAAAAATCCCACTCCTTCCTTCAAATTGAAGGTGTCCTATTGCTTTTTGGCCCTGACCAAACTATAACTTATCCTTGATTAAATAATTGACTGGTCTATTAATAGTTCTTTAGATTACTCATTTACTTCTCTCATGCTAATGAGAGGATATTTATAAATCAAAGAAGAAGTTTAATCAAAAAGCACGTAAGTTCTGCTCCTGTCAGCATCGTGCTCCCGACACGTGAACATGCCAGTTAGTAAATTAGATGACAACGATAATGATTTCAATAATCATTGGTTAATGTTAATCGTTTCCTTTATAACAGGCATAAAATAGTAACAATAGTGAATTTGTCTGTAGCTCTCTGAATGGTTGTTCGTGTCATTGCAGCCTGATTAGTGAAATGTGTTGTTGTGCTGGTGTCTAAGTGTGAGTGCGTGGGGGTGTGGACTATAAATACATCAATTCTGGCTTTGAATGTGAGATTGTGTCTTCTATGTTTATGATAGTGTGTATGTAGAAATTTTCTCCTCAGCACATGTTATGGCCTGTTTGGAGATAAGTATGTAAACAGCTGTGAGTGACGGATGAGTGCGTGTGGGAGGGTGACCGCTTTTATTAAGATGTGTTTGGAGAGTAGTGTCTATCAGGGCTGGCACTTGTTTAAGATATATATATATATATGTCCTTAAGAATAATCTGGTCACACTAAAATGATATGTACGCACACACATAAATAAAAGCACATCTCCAAGTACAGCAAGAACAATTGGACTTCTACAGGAACTTTTTACTATTGTCTTGAACTGTTAAAGATGAGTTTCAGAATCAAATATGGATATTCACATCACATCTGGAGTGAACTAGAAAACAAGTTTCTTGCGAGAAAGAGTCCTGCAAGTCACTATTTTGTGCTTTGTGCTGAGGATAGCTTTTCTTTTCTTTCTGTTAAAGCTGATCTACAGAAGTGATAGAGGCCAAAAATAAATGCATGTGTTTGGTCCTATCAACACAGTATCAGTGATGGCACCAAACTGATTTGAGAGAGAAACAAGATGGATGCAAAGCTGTGGAAGGGAAAGTTAGGTACCTCTGCTTTCAGATGTTAATTGTTACTCAAAGAATAATGTTAATGTCATGTGTTTTTACATCGCTGTGTAGATGTTGCTGTTTATTTTGTCCAAATGTTAAAGATAAAACCTGCATGTTAAGCAAGTTGTAGTCATATTTTTTGCAGCAACAACGCATTAATTTTGATTTTAGCAGAAGCTTGTTTTAACTGCGGGCATGTGCGTCTATGTGTGTGAAAAGCGTCCATAAATCGTGAAAGATAATTCCGCGTAGCGTGCACATCTGTGTTTGTGCGCGGTGTGTATGTGAGCGTGTGCACGTGGCCGCGCCTGTGCCAGCGAGGAGCAGGTGTGGGGAGGCAGCCCCGCGTGCAGCCCCATGCCCATCTGCGTGGCCGTCTGTGAGCCGCCTGCGCCTGAGCCGTGCCAGCGCCGAGCCGGGGGGTGAACTGGGGCCGACCATGGGAGTGGGACCGGGGCAGGGGGTGGAGGGGGAGCGGGGGGCAGGCTGGCGATCTGCCCATGTGTGCCCCGTCACCCCCACTGCCTGCCCCGCTTCTTTTATCTCGTATCCGCGGCTATGCTGATGAGCTGTGATTTATACACCGAACGAATCGGATGCACAAACAGACATCTTTTTTACTACATGAATACATATATCATCAGCACTTTTTCAGAATCTGAAATTTGAGATATTATTGTAATCCATTATATTTTCTAAGAAGACATAATAAATTATTTGAAACGCATGTTTAGTGATGCAGCACCGAACATATATTTTGCATACAAACTTCATTGTGTCTGTCCCAACAGAAAGACACTTACTTATAAGTAAGGTATTGTGAATGAATCAAACTGTATCATGCTGTCTTCATCTTATCAAAAACATGTAAGTTGCAACCTACTTGCAAGAAAGGTTCCTGTAAGTCACTATTTGATGATCAAAAGATGTGACAAAGGCCAAACATATAAATTGTGGATTTTATTTCATGGATTCATTGTTGTGGTTTGAAAGTTCAGTACCCCAGCTCTGATTACAAAAACATTCCCCGTAGCTTCAATTTACAATACCTCTGGAGACTACTGTTTCTAATGGTTTGATTTGCAAGTCCTCTTTCATATACCATTGTGACACATCCATGCTGAGCTGTTATTACTCCAGTTGGCCAGAAGATGTCACGTGGGGGCAGCATGCTCTGTGCAATGCACATGCAAAAGAAATCTGCCTCTCAGATCGGGGAAAGGAGCGCAGTGGGAACCATTCAAACAGGACTAGGAAGAAAGTGGAAAGTAATCTTTGAAGATGGAAACAAAAAAAGTTATCTGAGAACAAACATTTCTGTGGTTTTTAAAATTTTCACATTTGCAGCGGACATATTAGGTGTCGGATTTGGACTTGTTCACCCCTCAAAATATTCAAAACAGTTAATCACCGGTTTATGATTGCTTGGAACTGACAACGTGGACGGCGGAGAGGGAAAAAAAGCTTTCCTGGCAGCTTGTTTAAACAGAGCTGATGATTTGTGTGTATTAAGTTTCATGTAAACAGAGCTCCAGCTTAAACGTATAGCAGCAGGGTCCGGGGGTCCACTGAAAGACATGAGCCAGCTTTCCCATGTTGTGATACTGAGGAGCGAGCTGCGGGGTGGGGGTCATGTGATGCCAGTCTATGCCAAGGGAGAGAGAGGATGGGGGTGGGTAGGTTTGACTGATAGAAGAAGATGGGATTTTAAAAAGAGGAAAAGGGGGGATGTGGATTGTGGGGGGCTGTGGGAACGGTTTGCCTGGGCCAAAAAAGACGTGAGCGCGGAGCATAAAGGAAGGAATAGGGAAAGAAAGAGAGACTTGTTGGCAGAGGAGGAGAGCCACGGGAGGGGGTACAGTGGGCACTGGCAGGAAGTAGAATCACAATCAGGCACTACAGGGGAGGCGAGACAACCAAAACAAACATTGCACCTCAAATACAGCGTCTTTAACCGAACCACAAGCATTTAACCATTTAAAACTGCAGCGATTTCAGGATTTCAATGTTTATTACAGCAATCAAAGGTATGTCACGTTTGCCATTGTCCTCTCTATATTAAATACACTGTTAAAAAAAGTAAAACAGCTTTAATTACTCATTTAAATCCAGAAATAACAGCAACCCACTCAAGTTTACAAGCTGCCACCAGCTGCTAATTGTATTAATCAAACTTAATAAACATTCATTAACTATTTAGGCACCAAAGTAACAGACTTTTCTACAGTAACCAGGCTTCTCTACATTGTTGTTTCTTGTTTCTTTCTGTTATTGATTTGAGTAGTCCTCTCTTATAAAGTTTCAGGGCTCCATCTTTAGTATATTTCACATGAATTTTCTAAATAACTCTGGAGCCTAAAGGGTTAATATCTAGCCTACATATAGTAATCCTATAAAAAGTGAATACGCTTAAAATGTCTTGTGATCTCCATGTTAGCTTATTATACACTCAAGAGCAATTGTTTGATCAATTGAATGAGATCTAAATGTTCTGCTATGATAGGTCTCCTGTTTCTTAAGCTGGTTTGCTACACTTGGTTTGTGGTTCAATGATGAGTTCCATTTTAATCCAAATTCAGTCAAAGTCATGGTTACTTTGGGCACACTTATACCAAAACTTAATCGCAACAGAACTCACGTCCCCCCAACAAATTATTCTTTACAGCCATTTCAACAAAATTATTCAAGACCCTTACTCACAGCAGCTGGCCCTCATCCCATTCCATCCTAGGCCAGAAGCTTTTATTTTCGGTCGCAGAACTATGCAAAAAAAACGACTCCCAAATCTATGTGGGGCTTGGAGGACGTGTTTTACGAGGGTCATAAAACTCCACACAAACACATAAAGCTGGCCTGTAAAAATAATGTGCGCTGGGCATAAATGCTCATTTGGACTAATGAATTAGAGAAGCGATGAACGCCTCAGTTAAACCCGACATCCTCCCGTGTGAGGCGTGGACATCACTGCACTGCTTTTTGAGTTATATACTTTTGTCTATGTACCCCAACACCCATAACTCACTCATCACTAATACAGAAACGTATAGACCTAAATAAACCTATAAAATAAATCACTCTTTTTGTGATGACATAGTGGGAGGAAAAATATAGAAATTGTAATATTAGCATAATATAAACACACAAACGCTTGAAGCTGGGGTACGTAACTTTCAAAGTAAATAATAAAATCCATCTCACTAGTTCCTTGCTGTCAAAAACTTTGACCTTAAAAAAGTGAAAAGAGAGGATCACCCTCACTCAGCCAAAGCTTCAAATGTCTTTCTTGAAGTATGCAGAAGAAAACATTGCATACTTGATAAGCTCTTGTTTCTTTTACATCTCTTTATATCGGGACAATGTTTTGAATCAACCCCATGAGGTGGGTTTTGGTATAAGTGTGCCCAAAGTAACCATGACTTTGACTGAATTTGGATTAAAATGGAACTCATCATTGAACCACAAACCAAGTGTAGCAAACCAGCTTAAGAAACAGGAGACCTATCATAGCAGAACATTTAGATCTCATTCAATTGATCAAACAATTGCTCTTGAGTGTATAATAAGCTAACATGGAGATCACAAGACATTTTAAGCGTATTCACTTTTTATAGGATTACTATATGTAGGCTAGATATTAACCCTTTAGGCTCCAGAGTTATTTAGAAAATTCATGGGGTTGATTCAACCCCATGAATTTACTATTATTAAAATTAATAATAGTAATACGTTTTTTATAATAGTAATACGTTTTTGATAGTGCCATTGCGCACTTGCATCATAGGATTAAATAGACTGTAAATTACTAACGCAAATTATTCTTAAATGTCTTTGGTGGAAACCCAGAACTCATCTATCAAGAGCCAGACGCAGGGTGGGAGGGGGGACAGATGAGGCCTGAGAAAAGACAGTCTGCTGAGCGAGTGCAGTAATATAGGGCTGACCGCTGACCAGCAGCTGTCCCTCAGTCTGTGTCCTTAGTTCAACCCTGAGGTCAGTGACAGAAAGGCCATCAGCGCCGCAGAGACAAACGCTCCCAGACGGACAAGGCCTCAGCTCATATCTCAGCCAAAAACACAGGGGTTTTAGGAGCTCTCTGTTCAGATTGCAGAAAATCTGATCCACACTTATTGCAGATGCCAATTATTTTTTACCACATTTTGAGTGGTTGTTACTTCTGCCATCTTAATAATATAAAGTGCTTTTTTGAACATTCACATGGCATTATTCATTCACTCAGTACACAGTGGTGGTACACTATAACTGTTGCCACAGCCTCCCCGTGGCAGACTGACAGAACCAAGGTAACCAATTCCTGCCATTGGCCCCTTCAACCAACACCAATCATACACAAACAGCACACTACACTAGGCAGTGTGTCAAGTGTCTTGTCTGAGGACTGTGGCATCCTGTGCTTCCAAAGGTCTCCCATCATAACACTAACCAGTCTTAGTTTCTGAGGACTGAAAGGATCAGGCTTTCACATGCAGGTGGGGGTGGCACCATCATCACACATTCAATTACACACACTCCTCTGCATGTGCTATGCAGAAAAATAGATAGTTTATCTCAATGGGGCTATTCTTAAATAAATAAAAGCGGCTTACTTCTCTAATTGTAGCTTTTATTAACAATAGAATAATGAGTGTACCATTGCACAGAGGATGGAGAAGTCTGATGATAGATCTAAGCTGTTGGCTAAAAACAGCACATCTTACGTGATAAAGTGTGTTTTCTCGTAGAAGACAAACACATATTCAGAACTTTAATGGCTAATAGAAACTCCCTTGGTATTCTCTTGGTATTAGTCCTCTTATTTGTATTCAGCTGCATATGACAAATTCAGATGAATCAAAAAGCATTTCTGCACATGTCAAATGCACAGGATTAGCCTCGATCGGCCAGCTTATTGCTCCACTCAGCCTCTCCGGAAAGCTGATAATTGGAGATTTATTCTCACATCTATCAATCCATCTATTAACTTATTAACCCAGATAAAAGCTGTAAAACCATCCGTCCTCTCTGCTCACAGAGAGATTAGGCCTGTGCCAATCCACTTAGCAACTTTGGGCTAATGCTTAGTAACATATTTATTAAGCAAAGCTAACTCTGCTGCGTCAGCACTGCAAATAAATATATACAGTTAGAATTATGCCAATTTTGGATAAAATATTATTGCATAAGAAAACGCCCAATAAACTGGGTTGATTGTGGGACTAATATAATCAGGATAAAAGTACCATTGTTAACCACTAACTATTTAAACTTCACATTTCATATATATCTCTAAACCCCTAATAAAATTAACTTTCTGCCACTGGTAAAACTTAAAAAAACAGGGCAAATTTCACTAAGAGATGAACAGAACTACAGATGTCTTCACCTTAAACTGTGCCCTGCTAAAATATTATATGTTCATTAAATACATT